AAAAACCATCATCAATTGGGCGTGTTTTTTCTCTGTCACTCTATCAAAATTTAATGACCTTTACTCGGAGGTTGTTACGAGTGATGTTTCGTGACGTTGGTATTAGATATGATCACCGTTAAACCCTAAGACCCGCTCAGAAGAGTAATCCGAGTTGATGTTGAAATACTATTTCATGGTTACATACCGCGGGAGGGATCAGAGCCGATGATAAACTACAACAGGGGGGGGGGGGAGAGTACCCTCATGAAATCATTAAAGACAAACACACTCAGACCTCGGAATATCACGATATCTCCGTATTTCCCTTCACACCTTGAACACCACACCACTCGCAACACAGGAAGACGCACAACATTTCGCCAGGGGAGGAGTTCAATCAAAGCCACCCGGATTGCTCTGACATTCAAGTTTCTCAAAAGCTAACACCCTATTTACCTACTTGCACCTCCACAGCTTCCCACGCTTCTCCACGCCTTGCATTCCTCAGATATCCCACTCCCAACCACTGCAAACAGCGGAGCGCCGAGTGCATACAAAATGTCCGCAGACCAACCGCGCGAAGTGTGCGGTCGCCCCTTCAAAACTCCGGACAACAACCAACCACAGCTCCAACAGCACCGCTTCCACACTCCGGCCGCCAACAACGTCTCAACATGTGCGGAGAGTGCCGACCTCTCCCCGGCGGGCATAATCCTCCACCTCTCGAATGCGGACCGGGTGGAGGCAATGTCCTCCGCAGAACTACGCACACGTACGGGGGGCCAGATATTCCTTACTAAGCCGGTGGATGTGTTCCAACCAACCGGGAAGCCGAGGCCGAGACGGGCTGAGAACAGGGAGGATTCTTGGCTGTGTAGGCGCAGAGGTGGGTTGAGCATCCGTGTGAGGACCAACGTGGGGGCTATTACTCCGACGAGGATTGCTGCGAGGAGGGGTTTTTTGGGGGATGGTCTGGACGGGGAAAGGAGTCGCTTGGGTGGTGTGGAGGAGGGTGATGAGGGGGAGGCGGGCGATGAGAGCGTAGGATCAGCCGGTCATTACGAGATGTTAACTACGCTAACCTGTGGGTGGTCTATCAGGTCGATCTCCTTGAAGTCCAAGACGGGGGGGAGTATAGTATAGGCGCAGAGCCCCCCCACGAGACCGAAGATCTTGACGGCGATGTGTTGATGGGGGAGGCTGATTAGGATGGCAGCATCTCTCAGATGTAGTGCCAGACAAAACAGGTGGACGACTGCGAATTATTATTTATCGTCACAACTATGATGGCTCTTCCCTCAGAACCGCCCGCTCCCATGACATATGCGAGCTATGATACCCCAATAAAAACCACTCCTACCCCTGGCGACCACCCCATGCCATGTATTTATACAGACTTATACAGACTACCATGCAAAAAGTTAATACCAATTTATCCGCCATTAACTCCCATCTAACCTTAGTTCCCTTAAGAGAGTTTGTGCAGACAGACCTAACTTGGGTAGGAGTTACTAACAATGTAGCTAGCGGTTACCACTCCCATCAACAGTCCATCAGACCCCCGACAATTGTTGAGTTCCCTAAACCCCATCCATTCAAGAGGTCGATACGCCAGCCAATTCTTTCTCACCTTTCTTGAAGCTGCTCTTATCAGGATCATCCTCGAGAAGAATGGGCGCAAAATCATACCCGAATGGAGACAGAAGAGTGCAGTGGGAGTGGGCGTTTGTGGCCCTCAATTCCAGGTCCGATTTTCGGGTTTTTACGTACACCTCGACCGGGTGGGACTAAAGAACCAGGTGGCCAAGCCTCGTTAACTTATATTAACCACCTAGGTCTCACTGCGCAAACTCTCTATAAATTTATCATAATTATCATACATACATCCTCCCTTATCATACTCAAGTATTTCATTTTACCCAACACCCCCAAACTCCCCACAAAGAAGCAGGCCGTAAACAAACCCATCCCCACAATCCCCCCAACAACTAACCCCCATACCTTACCACCATATCATACTCCCCGGAAACCCCACCAAGCCACACCTAATAGCCAAGACAACCAACCCCACCAACCCTCACTCAATACCGGTATTGTACTCGAGTACCCTCGAACCCCTCTCCCACAACCCCCACCAAGCACCACATATTAGCCCAAATAGACAACCCCATCCTCACCAACCCATCAGCCATCAACCCCGCGGATCATCATGTCAACCGGTAGTATGATTATTATGTGATCTCCTCACCGACAATGCAAACTACTCGTAGCAGCCGATCCACCCCATCACCCCTGAGCAGGTCACGCGGTTGTTCACGCGGAACTTTCCCTCCGCCAGCGGTGTGGGCGGGAGCAGAGCGTGTGGGGAAACTTGCAGCATTAGCAACGTGGGGTTTGGGTTGCTGCGTACGGTGCCTTCGTGTGGAGGTTATCCGGGTTTGGGAGGGTGGACCTTGTGTGTGAACGAGGAGCGAAGGGGGGGAGGGGGAGGGGTGTGCACCCTTTCAGGACCCTTGGCGGTGGCATTTTAGTGTTGTGATAGTGAAAAAGTGGGGCAGCAAGGGTGTGATGTGCGTGAATGTGTGTGTATGTGTAATTCAACGCATATCTCACGTGCAACGACGAACGCCGGGACGCCCAAGAGGCGCCTATGACTCGGTGCGGAGGCCGGCAGTTGCCCATATCAGGGGGCTGAGTGCAGAATGCTCGAATTGTGCCCTCGTCGTTCAGGAACGTGAAACTGTAATGCCATCCGGTCACAGGATAGGGGGGATATCACTCTTTACAATCAATGGTTTGTGATAGCAGCCGAAGGCCAACCCCATACGATATACCCCCAGCGCGGATGCCCCAAACGATTAGCCTTGCTCTGCATAACATCGTGACATATATTAGAACTCCTGATTTATGCGCACGCTCCAAGGATACAAAAACAGACATGCTAGACCTCCCAACCAAAGCCACACAATATACTCCACTAAATATCCCATGCGCGATCCCCTCCATTAGTAGTCTAACCCACCAATCAATCATCACACAACCCCCTCGTCAATAACTCCAACACGCGCTCATACTCCCCAGGATTATGGTCTCCAAACATGCCCCCGCCAAACCCCACTTCGCCAAACCACCTCTCGACGTCCCTGACCCTCCATCCCCTAACCCTCCACTTACTCTTCATCCCACCGTTTCCCCCGGCTCCTTCATTCTTGACGAAGACCCTCTCCCCCTGAACTTTATAGACTTTCCCCGGGGGCGCCAACTTTTCGGATAACATACCCGCTCGACAGGTTTTGACCACGCTCCAAGCCCAGTCGTCTCCGTCGCCCACTATGCCAGAGACATTACCGCTTGTTAGGCCCTGGAGGATGCGGCTTCTGATCTCCGCTTTTGTGCCCTGAGTATCGGTTTTGAATGCGACGGCGACGGTCCAGAAGTCTCTGATTATACCAAAGGAGAGAGTGGGAATACAGTCATTGCCATTGACGACAGATGTGATCAGTGAACAGGTGCGCCGACGCAATGGCTCGGAAATACAAGCTGGAGGCCCATAGGCGTAGCAGTGGATTTGGCGCCCTTCCGGGATCCGTAGACTAGAGGAATGTAATAGCTGGATGTATGCGTTAGTAGTGGTGTAAGGCCCCGGGGAAGACCCTGAAGGGGCAGATAGGAGAATCGCGAGAATCGCAGCAACACCGCCTCCGAGCGAGTGTCCGCATAGTACAAGGCCGTAACCAGGAAACTTCTCAAGGGATGATTTGATAGTGTTTAAGAGTCGAGAGTCCTTCTTAATCAGGAGCAGTGCACTGTTCAACATTCCTTTGTGGGCCCGATATTTGGTTCCCCGAAGCCACAAGTCCGCGTATTCGCAGGTTAAATCCGTCAACACATCCTCAAGTCCAAGTGTTCCTCTGCAGGTCACTACGATCGCCTGTGCCCCATGATCTACTGCAACAAAGTGAACAAGTGGAATTCCCGTATTCACCTCACCATCCGTATCATATCCACCGCCTGGATCCGTAAACGACGAGAGGAGAATAGTGTCCACTGGTAAACTCGTATGATATGAGAACGAGTGGTGTTCCGCGTGATGGCTGGCAGTAGCAGGGAATGCCGCTGGGGCATCTCCAATACCAAATAAGCGCAAGAATTTCTGACCATACGACGCCGAGGCAAACCGCATATATTTAGAGAGGTTCTCTATTAGATGGCCCGAAGGGAATACGAGCGGGGTAGAGGATTCCAAGAGTAACGAGGTTTGGGAGTGCGACGTATGAATTGTGTATATCGATGGTGTGTGGGACCCGTTCCGGGAGTGGCCTGGTGACATGTGATTATCCGCTTGGCCGAGATGTGGGGATGTGGATGCCCTCCCCACCAAAGAATCCCGCTGCTGAACACTTGAAGTGCCGGTCGACGTTGATACCGAGGATTCCCGGCGAAATATCCCGCCTCTTGAAGATCGTGCATGACTTTCAATAAAACGAAGTTCTGGGGAGTCAGCTCTTAGTAATAAGTTCCTATCCCCCGAGGGCTCCTTCGATTTTCCAAGAGGAAGGAGTGACTGAGGGGTGAAATGCTTTTTCTTCTTTTCCTTTCCCTGAGGAGCAACAGGTCTCTTAGAACTCCGGCGCCCCTCTTTATCCTTGCTCTTTTCCTTGCCCCTTTTAGGACCACCAGGCGAATTACTCAATGCAGTAATCCTTTTTCGCTGATTAGCTTCGATTGGGACATCCAAAAATCCAGCAGACCCAGACCTTCCGTGGGGTTGCGATCCATCTGAACTCTTCGTCACTCGCTTCTTCTCTTCGACCTTCTCCTTTGGGGGTGGAGGTGGAGGTGCGTCGATTTCACCCAAAATCCTACCCTGCTCTTCCGAGGGGGTCTCAACAAATGCCCCTTCCTCCCGCTTCATCCGCTTACTACTCGATTTCTTTGTGGTCGTCTCATAGACGATCCGGTAGTGAGGTCGAGATGCGTCGTGCTGGGAGCTCTCGGATAGAACTACTGCATCTGGAGGAGGAGCAAAGTCTGGAGGGTTAGAACCAACAACTTCAATAGTCGTAGTGTTTGTAGTAGTTGAAGAGGTGGTCACAGATATATCCGCAGACCTAATAAAGTCAATACCGAAGATCGAGCCAAATCGTTACTTGGTAACCTACTCGGGAAAGCTTTGAAACATCAAAGCAGGAGGTAAACCTCCCGTCTCGTCCCCCGAAGGCTGCTCATAGACCGCAATCGCAGTGTTTTCATTCCTCCTAACTGCGTCCGTAATATCTTCGACCACCTCATCCCATTCCAAGTCCATCTTAATCTCAAGCTCTCTCCTCCTCCTAGTCTTCATCTGTAGTATAGCAAAGCAAGACAATCCAATCACCAGATCGCTCACTCCAACCTTTCCTTCCCCCGCTTCATTCTCCTCAATCTCCTTCTTAATCAATGCCACAATCGCAGAAATCGCCCGTGAACTTTCCGTGCTTCCGAATATGGAATCAAGGGTGAGAACGTAGGTTTCTGCAAGGGCGCTAACAGTGGTAAGTGTAGTCAAGCCAATCTCGAAGCCGGCAGACAGCAACAGTTGTGTGAGTGATATCGATGATCTGACGAAGCTTATCTGCCACGAGCCATTAATTAGACTCTCCCGGCTTGCCATGGATGGAGCAGGGCGGATACTTACGCCTCTATCAGCCCACCCATCATCCCGGACATCCCTCCCTGCCCTAGCCAGAATTCCTTCCGCAGCAGCTCTCCCAATCTCCAACCCCGTGAGTGTCCCGAGCCGTGCCGAGTCAAGAACAGTCCCACCGATAATCGACCCCAGCCGAATAGAGGCAGTCGTCGACCTCGATATCAGCGAAACCAGGGAGGCAACCGGTGCTGGAAGTAAAGTAGGACCAGAGGCGGGGTGCGGAGTTGGTACTATAACACTACTGCAAGCTGCGGAAGTGGTGGGTGGAGGTTCTTCTTCTGTTGACGACATCCCGATATCAAAGTATTTAATCCGGAAACCGAGAGATGATGGTGGTTGTAAGCGGGGAGAGGAGAGGAGAAGGAAGGGCAGTCTGGTAGGGAGATCAGATAGTATAATAAGGAATGGTGCTTAATTTAAGACTGGCATACTCGAGTGTCGTAGAAAAATCGACACGCGGCGGGCATGATAGGGTCTACGCAGGAAGCGGAGTAGTTTCAATTTTTCACATGTTTCTTTTTTTTCCCTTCTTCCCCAATTAGGCATGCAAGGACCTAGAAATTGGTGTAACGAACCCGTTGCCGGGATGGTTTAATTGTGCTATGCGGCACCTCTATGTTGTCAGCCAAGCCATTCTCAGGCACAGATTCTCATTTCAGAAACAAAGCTCCGCCCAATGTCGTCAATGTCAATTTCAATGTCAATGATCGAATATACAACTCCTTCCACCAAACTAGTATCCTTAGACCTATGAAAATTCAAAGATAGCTATTTCGTATAATTGTATGGACTAGAGATAGAATTTCACCAGCGTACCATTGGACAAGCAGCAATACATGCCAGATTATTTTAACTAAGACTAACGTAATGTAACTATCGTAACAAAATCATCCAATGAACCAAAGAGAAACAAAAATAAAGCACCACTAGATTTAAGACCCGTCTTGAGATCATACTCAACGCCCGATCTAGCAGAGATGATGAAAATCCAGACGGTAAATACTCCCGCACACAAACAAACAAAGGAAGAATATGCGCGCAAGACGGCCACCCAGCAAACAGAAATAAAAAGACAGCGATATGAAAAACAAGCCATTCACCCTGGAGTCCAAAAGATATTCCAAGAAAGGGATTCCTAATGCGCTATTGCTTTCACCCTAGCCCCGATTCTAAGATATTTGTCTGGGTCCAACTTTATCTCCTCTTGGAGCCAATCACCAGAGAAGATGCAGTGGACCTTCATCCGCTTATGGTAGGAGAGGTCAGGTAGGAGCTTGGGGGTGATTAAGAAATACCTGTACAAAGTTCCGTTTGTTAGCATATCTCATGCTAGGAGATAACCAAGGAAAGACTTACTGCGAGGTATATTCTTGACAAGCAATACTAACCATCCTATGATGGACAAGCCGCTCATTTCTAGGATCCATCCCTTGATTGATTTCATCAACAACCCTGAATGGACTACGCGCAAGACTCTGCAGTGCCATTAGATAGAAAACCGTACTAACAGCTCTCTCGCCACCACTCTGGCGCTGATTGTTCAGGACCTGCAAACTCTCATTTGCTCTGAATTTGACCAGAATCTGTATTGCCCACTTATCGTATTCGTCCTCCTCCTTATGCACACGAACCTCGCCAGCACAGTTGATTTTCTCGAAGGATTTTGAAAAGGCGGTAGAAATTTTTCCGACAAGACGGTCAATTACAGGCTCCCATTTGCCGCGAAGTTCAGCTATAGCAGCAGAATGTTTTTTGAGGTTCTTTTCCCTTTCAGTAATTTTATCCTCGAGGTTCCGAATCTTGGTTGCACGGTCTTCGTATTGCTTAATAGCATTAGGGTTCCCTTCGTGAAGTAAACCAAGTCGGGTATTCTGGATCTCGATGTCAGACTCAATCTCTTCGGCATTCTTTTCAGGAGGAATCTGGTTCATATAATCGGATTCTTCGGGAGAGAGCCCCTGTATAATCTTGCGACAGGCGCCTTGAAGCGCGCGAGCACGAGCGGCGCATTCAGTTGCACGTTGGGCAAGATCAGTAGATTCGGTCTTCTTAGTTTTGAGGTCTCGTAATACGTCCTCAATCCTCCTCTGTAATATCTCGGCATCAGAGCCTGCCTCTGCAAGCCTAATCTGACACAGGATCAATTCGTTGTGGATCGCTACAAGACCTTTCACAAGACCCTTTCACAACTATTAGCTTGCGATCAATAAAAAAACCCCACAACTTACTGCGAATTTTTGTGCATCAGCCGCCCTCTCCATCACAAGTGCTTCTTTTCGTGACTTCCATCTTCTCATGTTCTCTCTGTAGTCTTCCCCGCCTCCCATCTTCCTCTTGAGATCCTCCTCAGCACTTGCTAGAGTCGCCTTAAGCTTGACGTGTTTTGCTACCTCCTGCTGCTTTGCAACCTTTTCCGCCTTGATCTTCTGATTGGCAGCTTGCGCTGCCTTATATTTGGTAACAAAGGTAGTCCGCGAATCCTTCAGCTCTTCTATTTTTCCCCTGACATCCTCCAGGTCGCTTTCCATCTCTCCAATAGAGCGGCGAATCTCCTGCTCTGCATGTGTGTCCACTTGTTGTGCAGCGAAGGCTTGAGCATTACGAATCGACGTTACGTTTGCCATAACCTGGTTATACCGCCTCCGCAATGTGTACATATTTCGCCCGGCAACCCATCTATTGACCCTGGTACTCTCCATGTTTTTATTTTGGGCAGCAGTAAACTCTCTGAAACTTATAGGCTATGTTTCAAAAAATTAGATATATGGTCCCGAACTTGAACTATATCAGATGAACATACCGTTGTATGGATGCGGCATTCCTGGCAGAGCATTGATATAACGGGTGGTGGACCATCTATAAAATTGAGGGTAAAACCGTCAAATCCCAAGCTCCGCACTTCTTCCGGCGACACCGGCAGAGGCGGAATGGGAACATTGGAGTTTTCCCTGATGGTAACGTCGCGCAACTTTAGACTGTCGGGCCCAGCACCAAAACACACATCCAATAACTTCCGGTAATCGCCTTTATTCTGCGCGACAAGGGCAAGCTTGTCGGTTTTGCCGAGCTGCGATTCAACAACATCGGCGTGTCTGGGATCGGTAACATTACAGGTCAATACAGGAGGACCAAGGATTTCTTGTTCGAATTTATCTCGATGGGTTTTGATCCACTGCCAAATTTGATGTGTGTCCCTGCTCATGCGTTCAAGCATTCTCTCACGGACCCCAATAACCGAATTCAAATCCTGAAGACTACCCTTTTATTAGAAAAGGACCAAATATGAGCAATAGGTGAGAAATTACTCCTTGCTCTTTCGGCTTATTTGACCATTAATCTGATTCGCCCTCTCAACCATGGGCCTGATCTCCGAGTCAATGTCATCGATCCTCTCCTTCATGTCTCTAACCTCGTGATTGCTGTCGCCCTGTAAAGCTCATTGGTCAGAAATTAAGCTTGCCGCCGCAGAATCAAGGATCTTACAATCTTCCGGTTATAGTAGGCCAGGTCGACTTCCGGGGGGTCCTCCTCCAATTGCTTCTTAAGTTTAGCAATTTTTTCTTTTTCCCGCACTATCTGCTGCTTCCGACTCTGTTCTGCAGATCGAGCTACATCCATTTTATCGGTAATGTCTGTTATCTTGTCGTCGGCTTTGCCTATAACATCATCTTTGAATTTTGCGACTGCCCCCTCTTTAGCTTCAAGTTCCTTCTTCTTTGCCGCCACGCACCTCTCAAGAGCCTTCTGATATCTGCGCTTCGCCTTAGGCGCCTCGGTCATTGGCTCAACTTGCTGCTCAAGCTCACGAAGCTCCCGTTCTGCAACTTTGCTTGCATCCTTAGCATCTTTGGCCAGACTTCTCGCTGCTCGGTATTTAACGAAAGGTTTGGCCTTTTCCAGCAGTTCAATCTCTTTAATGATAACTTGCCGCTCTCGCAGGCGTTGAACGTCCTGCTCTAAGGCATCCTGTCGCGCTTTCATTGATGTCAACTGATTACGGTCGATCTCTAGCTCATTCAACAACTCCTTCTGGCGTTTACCGAGCTTTTTGAGATTCTCATGATGACCAAGGACCTCAGGGGGCGCCGCGGCCCGTTGGGTGTGAGTCAATAGATCAATAGCCGTCAAGCCGGCGAACTCAACAACACGGTCCTGAGGAAGAAATTGGCAAAGGTTGTCTATTTGAATGTTGTAGGATTTTACAAGCTTCGTAATTTTTCCGGATGTGCTGGACGAACCTAACAACAATACGTGAGCACATTTCAATACCAAAAGAACAAATTCCTCGTTCATAGCTTGTGCCCTACCATTAAGTGTAAATGTGGAGGTGTTGTTTTCTCGTCCAATCTTCCGTTTAATGATTGGGTTTCTCTCGTTCTCTTTTCCCTGTAATTCAATTTCAATGGTAGCAGTCTCGCAGCCGTGTTTGACGAACTCCGATATTTCCTTTGCTCGGCCAAGATTCTACCACCAACACACCATAAATCATTAAAATCCCTAGAATCGCCAAAGAAGAAAACTCACCGCCGGGCTAGAACCCAATCCAAGACAAATGGCACAGACGATGGTCGATTTGCCTGTTCCATTAGGCCCGATAACCATGTTCAAGTTCGGCCCCGGAAAGAATTCAACAGCCGTATAGGTGACGAAATTCTCAGCTTTGATCCTAACAATGCTTCCGGGCTGAAAAGGTTGAATATTCCGCTCTATTTCGCCTCCTCCGTAACCCATGGCGACTTCCCCCTCTTCCTGATCTGAGTCGGCCTCTGACAGAAGACTTCCATCCATGTCTGGCTTCACGAGCACATCGCTACCCTCGCCATCTGGATCCTCCTCACTGACTTCATCCTCAAAGGCCACCTCCTCAGGTATGGTGCGAGGACGCTTTAGATTTCTGCTGGGGGCAGGTGATTCCCAGGATGATAGATCTTCAGAGTCAGAGCTATCCGTCAAGTGCTGTGCAGAGCGCTTGTGTACAAGCGAAGGCATCTCCTAGATTCTATCAGTCACCTAGGATTAGTTTTATTCCTGGAGATAAAGCGCTCAACGGAATGAATTCGAATGCGCAGCGCGGTGGGGTCGTGAGAGTCTGCAAGGCTGCGATAAGAGGAGTTTGGGGGGGGGGCGGTGAGGTCAGAAGGAAGGACAAAAAAAATTCGCGTCACCCAGCACGTTCCCACCGCGTTGAGTGGTCGCAGAACCGCCAAGCCACAAACCCAAACCGCGATTCCGGAAATTTGATTAATAAGCAACTATGATAAGATAAGATCAGAGCCCGGTCATCCCTTCGTCTGCACCGAATCTCACTCACTTTTAGCACTCCGATGGGCAAGTCTATTTTACCCTAGTGAGCCCGAACACCACCCATCAAAGGAATAGGCTCACTCACAGAAGGCTGACCTAGCCAATCAACAAACTCGGCCTTCCCTTGGCCGAAGATAAACCACCGTCTATACCTCTTGGGGTAGCAAAGGGGTGGACCAAAACCACTCTATGGAAACAGCTTGGGGGATCTGTTCAGAGTGTTTCGACAGTGTTTTTCCAGCTCACTGTAGCGAATGACTTAAAAAAAAAATTCTCTATCCCTTAATCCCTCAAATACCTGACCCCAATATCTATCAAGGGGAACCAGGCTTCGCTCTCCATGCCATGCTTAGGCAGGCCCAACGAAGTACGGTATGATACCGTAAAAACCCGTACAATCCATTATATCGGCCAGCTCTGTAATCCGGATCCCGAGCCCAAAGCTTCCGAGAAGGATTAGTATTTTCCTGAAACTGTAAAAGACGTGTCGGATCTCGCCGGCCGGTATTCGCAATTCTCCAACCCTATCAAAATAAGACTATCGCGGGCTGACAGCTAGGTCGATAATCCGAGAGTGGACTGTGGGGGTTTTCACGGTACTGTTGTCGTGGTAGTGATTGGGACTTGACTCGAGTTCTCCTCCAGAATTCTATTAAGCACAGCAAGGCACCTATCCAATGACCTTTCTACCTCAGGGTCAAATTTCCCACAGCGAAGCCCATGTTTACCTATTCAGGAGAGAACGGTATCCAGTTATGATATCAGAACTGCGCCAGTACTAAAACTGTCTCTCGTGATGGCCCACTCACCAGCAGCATGGGTTTATGTTTTAGAATGGCCTAACAGCTATCATGTGGACCAGATCCAGAACGGTTCAAGGTGGTTCTCTGCCTTCCGCTGCTACACGTTTACAGCAAGATGCTGCCAGGAACCCATCAGACTCGAAAGGCACACACATCCCCACACATTCCTAGCTTGGCTGTAAAAATCAACTTCCTGCAGCTCGCAACGGGATGAAACTAGAAGTCATAATGCCAGTATAACTATATTACATCGCCCAGAAGACCGAAAAACCAAGTCTTGTCCATTCGCATTCCCCCGACGAGTTATTCATCGTATATCACGGATACCCAGTCAGCTGGTTAGTAACAAAGCATACCGGTATCATCCCCAACTCCAGGTATGATATGATGCAGAATACTTGGCTTTCACAATGGGACCCACTACCACAGGAAAACCGAATACCGGTGATTGGGCCTCTCGTGTCAGGGCGTCGGAGTTACCTTTGCTGGTAAGGTGCTGTCCCTTTTTTTATTTTTATTTTACTTTCTCTCTTTGGTCCTAAACAGGATCCGAGTGGGTCAGTTCTCGCGGTGTTTCCGGCCCCCATCCAAGAGAGGAAATTTTGGACATTTTAGGGCAAGGTTCAATTATCCGAGCTCCTACTCGAGTACAGTAAGGTATTGTGTGATACCGGCTGCCGGCCGCCGGCACCGCTCCCCAAACACCCGTAAGTTAATGAAAGTGGGTGAGCCCCTTTCTCGGTCTCCGTCCGCCGTTTGGAATACCATTGCAAGTCAACACCAAGATCGGAGCCCCTTTCCGCTTTGGAACCCGTGTATTAGTACTTGTACTTGCACAAGTAAGGCTTAGCCGCTGCCGAGCCCAAATAACAAACCGTTCAACAGCGATCGTTAGAAAAAAAAACAGGGGTCCATGTTTAGAATGCTATGACATACTCGTACAGTACAAGTACCATGTTAAGAACAAAGTCCCCAAACCGTGACCTCCCTCCCACCCTCCCTCACAACATGGGCATCAAAAGCCCCGCAACGGGCGAAAGAACACAGAATAAGGACGCAGAAAGAAAAGAATACAGCATGGAAAAAGGAGAAATAAAACCCAAAGCCTTTTTCGCCCTTCAGCTCTTTCATTCCCTGCAATTTCCCACCGTTCTGTGTTTATTGTAATGAGCGTAAAGCGCTTTGGCGGCTAAGTTAAGTAAGGTTGTCGTGTGGTGATGGATGAGGAGGAAAAAAAGGTTGGCACAGAGCAGGGCGGCACCAATTACCAGTAATCTTGGCATGAATTACACAAAAGTTTAAAACAAGGGTGCTTCACTTTTTTTTCGTAAGAGTGGCAAAGCTGTGCCAAGTCCCCCACCCCGTTTTCTCCGTGATGTCGGTAATTTAAAAAACTGGGCCAGGCTTAAATCTATATCCGACAACCTTCCTAAGATATCTGTGATGATTTTTTGATCTTTTTTGAGTGCGTTTGTGAGTGTATTCTGAGCCTTGGATAGGGATTATTCATATGGAGGTCAGAGTGCGGCGGGGGGGGAGAGGTCATAGGGGTTAGAAACGTCGCCCCTGTCATTTGTACTCGGGTGTGTTCTGTAAAAATTGGAAACTAAGGCAGTAAAAACCAGGGAGGACTGGGCGGGCGGGGAGATTAGGTTATCCCGGAAGCCAGAAGCACGACAATGTAATGAGACATCTTAAATGGGTACGTTGCACTGTGTGAGCGGTGAGCTGTGAGATTTATTATACTCGGGTATGGACGTGGGATACCGGACAGCCAGGGATTAGAGGTGTCAAAGCTTCTTGCTTGTTCGAGCAATTCTCATGCCAGACTCATTCCTTTATTTCCTATGAGGGCAAGGACGGTCAGGCCTCTAGAATCCCTGGCTGTCCGGTATCCCACGTCCACACCCGAGTACCAGAGGTGCTTGTACTTGTATCATGGTGATTCCAAGTGTCGGTAGGGGACCAATATACATAGCGAACCAAGGGGAAAAGTTGTGGATTGCAAAATTTAATGAGAAAAAAGGTGGATACAACACTACCGGTATGTGACTCTATCATAGACTTCACTGGTAGCCACCCTTGCACCACAAGAATATTAATCTCTCCGATCTTTATGGACATCCGAGTTCCAGTACGATAAACAATAGCCCGCCATCCAAAACCAGAGCATCTCCAAAATCCGCGTAAGGCCAGTTTCGGATTGGGCTAACTAGTGCGAGCAGGGCAGTATCCGAAAATGATTGGCTGTTGTGCTGGAAGCAACCTTGGCAACTTCTCGTGTTGCACTTTACAGTACTATGGCAGTGTGCTCCTGTCCCTTCCCGTTCCAAAAGTATCCGGAACATCGGAGCGGTGTAGGGCTCGGAAACGCCAAGATTTCCGGATACTCTCAGGAAGGGCAAGTGCTCTCATATTAGAGCACTGCAAGGGATCATAGCACACTTAAGGCGATTGAGCTCCCTTCTACTACCGTAGGAGAAACCGGGTGGAGAGGAATTTTTGCATACGAAAGTAAATGGTCTGGAAGGGATGGCCACCTCCTGAGTGGCACGGAGCATCACCCGCAGCAGTGGGTATCGTTTTTTTTATGCTCCGGTAGGGCACCCGGGTCAGTTCCGCTTTCCCGGATTGAGGCATAGGTTCAACTATTAAGCATAAGACACTACGCGTTCAACCTTCTGCGGGAATCCTGGCCTCTCACCACTGCAGAAGCCCTAACCAGACAGTTGCCCCGCAGTCATCCGAGGCGGTTCAGGAGGGAGTGGCCCAGTTTCATAAGTGCGAAATGCTAGAGAGGGGGCCTATTCATGGTCTTCCTTGAACAACTGGTCGAATTGGACCGGGTTTTAGGCAGGAACGTTGAAACAGGCTCCCAAGACAGGACCCAAGGATGGTTGTTGGCTGGGCGTCCCGAAACGTCAGCGGTGACAGGCGCCCACCACCATGGCCCCTTACCACTCCACCCAGGACTTGGTACTTCTTCTTTTGGTATGTAACCGGAATTTTGACTACCAATCACTCGCACCTTACCCGAGCTAGTGCGGTACGTAACAAGTACTCGACCACGAGTGAAGACGGGGGAGCCTCAGATCCGTCAGCATCAGCGGGAGCGGATGGGAGTTACACTGCCGATCAGATGCTGAATCCTTGCTCAGGAGTAGCCCTCCTTCTCCATTAGGGACTGACGGGCTTCAGTTGGGGAGGGTCGCTTCTATAGCGCTTTGTTCGTCTATCCAGCCCCTCACCCTTTGCCGAGGCTGGCTCCACGGCTGGCTCTTGTGGGTTTACCGCCTGGGAGAGCACCAACTACATCATGTAATGCTCCGCCTATTACGGGAATAAAACACAATTGTGTCGCAAACCCACCAATACCCTATAACTAAGTAACCATACAGCCTAGAGTACGTACGTACCTACGGGAAACCTCTCCTGCCAAGTTGCTTGGCTGCTTCAAGGTCTGTAAAACTATCCAAATACGTATGAAGATTTATCTTCGAATTCCTTGGCGAATATGGAGGGAAGGGAGGATATCTTTGGACGTTTTTCTGCGTTTTTCCGTTTTCCTTCCATCGTTCTTCCTGTGCGTGTTTCCGTGGATTTCCTGGTTCCTTCGTTCATTTCCTCTTTCACCTTTCCTTATATTTCGTTTCTTGAGACCGGCTGTGCCTTGGTTACCTAGTCTTCCCAACCGACAGCGGGCAATTGTCGTTTTTTTCAATCCTCTACTTCTTCCTTCATATCTCTTTTGTTCAAGTTCCAGCAGCCGGCCCTGCAATCCTTAGCAAATATGTATACACAGCAATTTGTTTTCATTGCGGCAGCGCTGACCACTCCACTCCTCTCCTCGGCAAATTGTATGTACGGGACGAGTCTATTCCCCCGTGCTGAGGGCGCCACCGTTGAGGTCTCGAATTTTGGATATGAAGGACTCCAGGGCCCTCTCAACTGGGCAGCACTCGCCGCGGAGAACTCTGCTTGCGCAGCTTCGAAAGTGCAGTCACCTATAAATATCGACAGTACTATCGAGCTCGCGGCAGAAGCTCCTAAAGTTGATATTCCAGATGTAGAAGCAGCGTTGTTCGAGAACCTGGGGACAACTGTGGAGGTCGTTGTCAATGGAACAACAACTTTGGGTGGAGCGGAGTTCAGCTTGCAGCAATTCCATTTCCACACTCCAAGTGAGCACAGAGTTGCTGAGGAGTATTTCCCATTGGAAGTACATATGGTTCACGAAGCTGCGGGTAAGAATTCCCCTCTTGTCCCATCCTGATATATCATGGACTCTAACTTTTTTTTTTTGAAAAAAAAAACAGACGGTTCTGGAGCAATGGCGGTTATAGCATTGACCTTCCAGCTTTCCGAGGATGGGGCGACCACAGAACTCTTGACCGGGGTTACCAAGAACCTTGCCCAGATTGCCACCCCCGGCACAGTAACTGAGACTGGTCCTCTAAAGTTTGCCAAAGTCATCGAACACGTCCAGACAACTCCTCTCTTCCAGTACACCGGATCCTTGACCACCCCCCCTTGTGCCGAGGGGCTCACCTTCCTCGTTACCAAGGAGCCTCTTCCACTCAGTGTCAAGACCTACAACGAAATTAAGGCCGTCGTCAAGTTCAACTCCAGATACACCCAGAACTCCCTCGGCCAAGGGAACTTAGTCGCCGTCGGAGCGGCTGCATTGGCCAGTGTCGAAGGAGTCGCTGCCGGAAATGAAACTGCTGCTGCTGGAAACGCCACTGGAATAGCCAAGCCGAAACCATCTGGTGGGGCTGCTACTGCCACTGGTGCGAATGCAACAGCTACTGCTAAGACTGCTGCAAGTACGTGCCCCTCCTCGTAATCACAACCTCTCACTTGGAGCCCGATCTAAAATTTCCTAGCTGCTACTGGCCTCGCCGAGGTTAAGGCAGTGGGCGAACACCACTGCATCCTCGGCTCCTGTTACGAAGTCCCCAAGGTCAAGCGCTTCCGTCGCCGCAAGTGAACCTATCACATCTCCGGACTCGGATTAGCCAAGAAGAGAGATACGGTAGAGACGAGACGAAGTTTTGCTTTCCTCTATTTTTGAACTGTAATTTATTTATTCATCCATTTTCACTCATCCATTCTCTTTATTCCCATCATCATGAAATAGAATGAAACCGGTGCGTAATGCTTAGTACTATGTGGGTACCTCCCTCCCCATCAGTTCCCAGCCGAGGCGCGAAAAACAGCCCTCTCTTTCTCTTACCACTTTTTTTTCCCTAATAAGTTAACCCAAAGAAGGAATTCCGCACCTCTTACTTACAGGGGCCCGAGGTCCAACCACATTACTCCAGCCCCCACGGCATGCGTAACCGAGCGCATGGGGAGGTTTGGGCGGTCCGTCCTATTATATGTAGTAACGATGTACGAGTACTGTACCCGTACCACACGGATAATAACAAAATAATAAGGTTTCTCCGTTCCCTGGCCCTCATTCCAACGAGCCAACCACGGAGAACGTTTCAGCTATAAAAAGTTAACCGATAGCGAACAAAGTTTGTCAAAAGCGGACAGTGAGGGCTGCCGCACCGTACTCGGGCACTGCACTGTACTCGTAGCGCATTCGGTGGCGTGACGCGACATGACGGGCACGGTACAGTATTGCACTGTTCGGTACTCGTACCCAACCTCTCGGCCGTCTCAGGTTCCGCCCTGGGTCAAACGGAGTGGGTTTTATTCGGGATGTGGTTTTATGTTTGGGCTTGGCGGTATGTGGGGTTAGCACTAGCCCGCGGTAGGTTTAGTACCGGAACGATAAGTGGGGGCATTTTTGGTACCGGGTGATGGTTAATTTACCGGATCAGTGGTGCAGTGGAGAGTAATCATGAATCATGAACGGGTAAAAGAAAAATAATAAGAATCGGAACACCGTGGTCGCCATGTTCTCGAGCTTACTCGTGCAGGTGTATTCTATTCCGGTCGGTTGGGGGAGGGGGGGAGTGTCGGACGGTACGGCACCCTACCGTAGTATGGTAGTCCAGTGCGGTGGTCATGGGCGCTCACTCGGTGGTAACCTGTTTGGAGTTGATGTCCGGGGGACGGAGTGATATGTTGGGGATCTTCCCGGTTGTTTTCCTTAGGGACCCCAGAATCTGCTGTTTCGAACCGTTGAGTACGGTGCCGGCTTATCTTGATTTGGTTATCTGTCTGTTTGAGTGCTGTTTGGTGTTGCAAACCGTATCGTATTGACTCTGGCAACCCCATATCCCCGTCTGGTCGCTAATCTCAGCAGTCGGGGGAAAAGCACTCCTGGAAGGAATTACCCTCACCCGACGCGGTGTGTCTTTAGCGAGCTGAAACTCGAGGATCCTGTTCGTTCGCTGGAGTTCGTAATTCGGTTAACTTGCTCTGATAGGACCTCCCGCATGTTAATGACTTGGTCGGATTGTCCAAGCGAAAAGCTGTATTGGGTACGAACGTTGTCAGGCGGGCGAATGGACTTGTGGGACGTTATGTGGCCATTCGTCATCATACCGCCTTCTTTACTCACTATAGATTCTTTGACATTCTGGATGGAATGCTTGTATTTTTGCATGCATGTTCAAATTTGGGAAGGAAAGGGGAACTGGGTGATGAAGGACGATACACGGTGTTAGTGTTGAGGAAATTTTTTCTGCTTTTTCTTTCTTCAGATAGATTGTTCCAGCAAGTGTCAGTTCCCGGTCAGGTTGAGGGTCAGAATATTGTGCTCGGGACAGGATTTCAGAGTTCCCTTCTTTCAACCATCCGATACTTTCTGAAATAGCACTTCTGGTTAAGGAGGTATCTCACTAGTATTACTGATATCTGTTTAGTTCATCTAGATAACGATCGTCACCAGAGGGATCTCATCTGCAAAATCCCCATGAAACAACGCCGGACCGGGAAGCGGTCGAAAAGTGTCTCGAACAAACTCCAATACTCGTGCTTCAAGGCCAAGGTTTGGCGCCCCATTTGTCCTCGCTCGTGGCACCGTTCTTTTCTGGCAGAGGGGATTCGTTCATTGGCAGTGTGGAACGGGTGCAGTGGCCCAAATATTGGGGGAACAGTTGGTGAACATAGTTGGCACGAATTTACTGAAGCTTATAGGTATCCGGGTTGTGGCATATACTATTTTCCTCGGAAGGGCTAAGCCCTCATACCCGCTCCAGTATACTAGTAGAATATGGCCTTTCAGTAGAAAGCAAGTTGGGCCACCCGCTAGGAATAACTAGGGTGCCAAATCTTGGCTGAGACGCACGAGTACAAAGATCGTGGCCAAGAGCAGGGGGTAGGGCTCGACCCATTCCTACCCAGCATAGATCCGTGAATGGATGCCTTGAAAACCGGGAATGAAACTTGAGATCTCGCTAGGAAGTTGGACCCCCCCTCCTAATAAACCCTCTCACCCTATTCTCCTTATTCGTCAAACGGAGGACTGAAAAGCAACTTTGTCTCACCATTCCAGTTTTACTGCATGGTGGACCCATGGAGATTTTCCTTCACGATATTCCCCCGAGCGTTACGACATTATATCACGAAAGATAGACACTTTCCCGCTGGAGGCACGGTACCGCCCGAGCTACTATAAAAAGCCTCGCATCACCACACACAATACGGGAGAATTCCGCCCCCCTGCTACTGTACTTGTATACTCAACAACCAACCAATCTCTAAAAATCATGGCAGCATCACAAATCCCCATCCCGGGGACCCCACACTTCCCTTCCCCTTACCACCGCGGCGCTGTACCGTACCATACCCCTCACACACACACTCTCTTGGAATAGCCTCTGGTATATCTCCCACCTGCACCCCCTTCCTAAACACCGAACGATCCTACAGACGAAACCATCATCATCGAAGCCCCTCCCCTCCTCTCGGGCCCACTCCTCCACCTTGCAACACGCCCCACAGGCACGGGATGTATGTCCATGTGGTATTTTGGGACGTCTTCACAGGGCCAAGAGTGTATCCTACGGTATCATACATATTCGACTCGAGTATCATACTGCAGGAGACCTGGATTGCAACGTGATCACGAAATATCACCCGTATCGCATCAGAAGCACACTGTCGGAGAAATCGCTTCGATATGACAGAGGTATGTATATTCAGCATGGAATGTAGAGACTCATGTCATTGCACTAGTACAGGGATGTTCATCTATGGGTATAAGTACTATGGTGCGGGACACGGGTATTGACAACAATTAAAAAAAAAAGAGAAAAAAGAAGAAAGGCTTGATACCTTGACCTCAGAACTATTTCATACTACTACAAGTCCTTGCCTTCTCTCTTCTCTTCTTCCTCAACTCACACGCTGCTCTTCCAACACCCACAGGCCGGACACAGGGCGGGTACTTACTTATATGAGGCATCATAGAAGGTAAAATTTTGTACAATACTACGATCCTTCAAAGAAATCTCCTCCTCCTCCGGTCGGCAACCCTTATACCTGGTCAACTTTGCTCAACGCCCGCTCTTCAATGCAGTGTTTTGAGTAGCCCACAATCCGGCATGCGCACTTGGAAAAATTTCCCGGGTCACAGTACCTCGAGGGTATTCTGTGCGACGGTACTGGAATGCGTCAAGTAGGGTACAGGTGGGTAAGCACCGGACCTCGCTTGGTCAGCACCCAGGGAATCAAAGATCCCCGTGCCAGTGATCCCGGTCCAATTTAACCCCGGTTTGTGCTCCGTACTGTACTGTACCATTCAAACAAGCATGACTCTACTCGTGTGATGGACAAGGCATGATAAAAACGAGGGCTTTTCACTCCCCGGATACCGGTAGATGATGAATACATGACTGTATTCTGGCTTTATCTGCTCCAAGTTTGTTTCTACTTGTATTGGCCTATGGCTATCGAGCTATGTAATAGCCTAATGGGGAGGATAGAAACGGGAAAAAGTGAAAACCACGAGAGAAATGAAAAAGAGTAATGAAATGATCCGAACCAAGTATGTTTACCCTCCCCAGCCGATCCTACCAAACCAACGGACCGACCCACCCTGCCCGATAATAATACCCAATAATGAAAGCAAGAAAGTAAAGTAGACATGGAAAAAGGGAACTAGAGGGACGTTTAAAAAAAAAAAGGAATGTAAAGGAAAAAGGAAAGTGAGAGTGGGTTATCTCTTAGCCTCGGAGTCCCCTCAACTCGCCCCTCTCACATCCCAAGAGCCTTTCACCTTCCTCAGAGATACCCTCCTCTCCTCGGGTAGTCTCAACCCCTCTGAATCCACCAAGTTCCTCATCGTCATCACACCATCCCTCGCCACCAGCAACCTCTCTCTCCCATCGGCTAACCTCACGGTCCTCCTGTGCAAGCGAGCAAGGAGCACAAAAGAAGTGTCTCCAGAAGTCATCAATACATCCACCAGCACTATCCATACTCTCAAACATCCTCATCTTGCCAGGCTCACGGGAAGCGGACGCTGGCGACACAGTCCCCTTGGGCAATGAGTGATCAATATTAAGCCTATTGCGGATATCACCACGCTGCATGAATCCAAAAATGAACTCGGCACCAGGGAAGCAGGACATGACTAAGCAGTAGCCCAAGCAAGGCGTTGATAGGACGGGCGCGGGAGTATTAGGAGCATGGAGACGATGGCGGGTTTGCGCATATGAAACGCAAGGGCAGCAAAGGGCCTTGGTACCTGGGGAAGGACTTTTGTTTTAGTATAACTCGCTTCGGGAGAATGAGGCTGACGTTAGCGGGAAGAGGTTCCTCGGGAGCTTACCTGATGCAGGATCGACGAAGCAGTCGAAAATTCCGGTCATCCAGCCCTTCTTGCGAGGGGTGTACGGCTCCGGGGTAGTCGCAGTGTAGGACATGGTCGGTTGGTCAGTGAAGACGTTTCCATCGCCATAGACGGGCGCTGAGTTGGAGGAGGTAGCGTCAGTGTATGAAGGTGGGTCCGAAGCTACGGGAGCGACTTTAGCGTCGGTAGGATTTGTGTTGACGGACATGATTGTTTATTGTTGTTGTTGTTGCTGTTGTTTTCTCCGTTTGTAGAGGTTATTCAGAGCTTGTTGGAGCTAAAGTGAGGAAGATGGAGGTGGATGGAAGAAAGATGGAGGAGAGGAAGACTTAAGGTTGGTTGTGGAAGGCTCCGGTAAAGGAAGCCGCGCAAGTCTGTTACATAGGCTCAGCCCCTTCAGGGTTAGGGTGCCATTGGTCCATGAGACAGCCTCTAGAGTGTTTGAGGTCGCGCCGTACCACGTCTTGTCCCGGGGCACACCGCAGAAAGGTTCTGTGTTTTAGACGTTTGATTCTCATTGGACTTGAAGTGAAGGCGCTTCGTGAGGCCTTTCTATTCCTTCTTTAACCATTCATAATGGATCACTCGAGTAATTAACGTGTTGAAATGCTTTCCGTGCTCGGATAGAATATTACCCGGGGGCCCCGATCACCCCAACCAAATGCTTACTAGTACCCCCTTGCAAAGTGGCTCAAGCCGGCTGTAAAACCAACTGATTGGGCCTTGTGAACCCCCCCCTCGTATTCCGCAGAGGCATTCAGCCCCGGGGCTGAATGTCTCTATAAAAGTACGGTACCCAATACCGTAGTGGTGCTCTCCCCGCACACTGCCGGTAGCATACCAGCGCTCGAGTACCGGTATTGTAGGGGTTTTCAAAGTTAAAAAGGTAGCGAAAATTTAGCTTACTTTGCTGTTTTATGTAAACTTGGCATACACAGAAAAGATTAATTTACTGTTACTTAACTTTACCATACCATAGGGTAGAGACAGAGGTCTGGAGGTCAGTAACAGATACAGTACAGGCCCTGGTTTTACACAGCTTTACCAAACCTTTAAAATCAGACATGGTGTAAAAAGAAAAATTTAAAAAAATAAAAAACCAATTTTAAAAAATACCATAGCACATCCCAGGAATAATTATGTACTTTCACTGATAAAAATCTTCCAACTTTTGATATTTTGTTGACAGAAACAGGTTTCTTACTATTTCTGTAAGATTTACCATACCCTTTGCCAGTCTACTTTGCCTTCAGTTACCCCAGGACTCTCAAATATGGTACCTGGAACATGAGGATGCTATTGGCTGATACCAGAAAGTAAGCTTATGCAACTTCCGGCATTTACTCGTTACTGAAAAATCATGTTTTTAACTTTGAAAACACCTAGTGGCCCACTTGTGCACCGCTGATACGTGATACCGGTACCCCGACGTCAGGAGCCGCGGTGGTGCACTAGTACAGTATCATACGCTAGCCACGATCGGGCTTTGAGAAGAAAGCTCATGCGCCACAGCTCTAGGTAGACACTAGAACATCAAGATACTACCGTATCATACCGACGCCCTATCCCCAGACTTCCGAGACGATGTTATCTTGCAATTTGACTGCCCCCGAAATCCACCGCTTCCCGCTGTATCATACATACCTCCTGCACTTCTGTTCGGGATTTCCGCTCTTTTCTTTCGCTCCTGCCAAGTCCTGGGGAAATACGGTGAGCGCGGGATACCTTTATTCACTATAGGACAATCCCGGAAAGCCAGTTCCCTCCCCCCCCCACGCTACGAAATTTTCGGGTGGGCTGCCGAGAATCTATCCAGTGATCAACGTTGGCGCTCTGCTCTCTCTGAAAGGTATATATAACTGCCCGTTATCGATACTCGGAGGGAATCACGTCGTTCATTGGCGGTAACTTGCGCATTGGAGAGTCATCTACGGATCTCCTTCATATTATCCGCGAGGCTGGTTTCACGGTATCCCGTCAACGGGCCTTAACACTGTTATACGTTTCATCCTGGTACTTTATCATGTCGTCTAAAGATGTGTGTATCCGGGCCTGCTATCGGTTGGCGTAATGGCATAATCCTCACTTGTTATCACTCGGTTATCCATAGGGGGGTTTCTTCTGTTGTTTTGATTGGTTTGTTGGGAGTGGCCGGGAAGAATAGTGAATGGTATCTTTATACGGGCAGGTGTGTTTGATGTGAGGGGGGGGGGGGAAGCCGAAGCTTGTCCAAGACTGGTTCCGCAGGTTGGTGGCTGGGGGCTTGCGATGTGCTAAAGCAATCTTATTGCTGGGTACGTGGGTGATATCGATAAGGGGCGCCGGCTATGGGCCCCCGCGGCCGCAGGTGCAAATATGAGGGGCCGGTGGTGTATACCATACCGCCCCCAACTTAGCAGTTCCAACTCGGGCCCGTGGTTTGGGGAGCCCTGGATTAAGCTGCCAGCAGTCCGGCATGATACCAATTGAGGTATCTCCTGACCTTGATTCTCTGGGCTATCCAGATAACAAGATCCATAGAGCGCTACCCCCCGCACACATAATAGTAGTTTATTGATCAGACATCCATCTTCCCAGAACGCCCAATACAAATTATAGATACATTCTTGCTATCCTCGAACCCTCTATTGGAATCTGTTTCAGCTGCAGAGAGATTTGACAGTCAAGATATCAGGACCCTGGAGCGGCGGGATGGACATACTGTGCTGCGCACACCCGGTAACGGGGATCTCTTGGCACGCCCGAGGTATTGCGTGTCTGACATTTGAATTGCTCTGCGGCGGGTGCAGGTTGGCTTCAACTGTAATTGGAAGGGTATCGGATGGGATCTGAATTAAGTCGTCTGGGGAAAAAGTCGCTCTTGAATAAACCGGACTTCTCGAAAAAGGTACCTAAGGCATGAAGACCGCCTACCGAGGCCAGCATCGAAAGATTTTCAGAGTGGGCAGCGGTAAGAAAAGATATGCAGGCGCTATAACGTTAGACTCTAAGAGCTACGTTACGTCCGTATATTTCTTAGCTAGATCTTAACGGTCCGGCCCTCCTTGCATCGGTGCTTCCTCGCTCTCGCTCGTATGATATAACGAACACCATCGACTCGAATCCCAAATCGAACTTCGTATCGGAGTGCTCAAGGGAGAAAGGGTACAATAACCTCTGGATTCCACTAGTATTTTAACAAAGAGTACACACAACTCTCAAACCCACGGGGCTATTCCACCCAGTGTCTCCACCTACCCCCCCTTTCTGAGAGGCCCTCCATTCTCCCGTTTTGAATCGGGCAAGCCCAGGATGGCTGCTGCGTGGGGGGGGGGGGAAGGGTAGTAATCACCTTGCAGACATGTGTTTCCCTCCCACAGAGCGAAATACTGCTCCGGGCTCAGCGCGCTGACGAGGACTAGACTGCTGGACATCTCGATGGAGGCTCAGGGACTGGGTGAGGTATACGAGGGATATAGTGTCATCCGCGCGGTGACCCAATGCTCCAATGCTCAGGATGTTCTCTAGGGCTATGAGTAGCCCCACTAACAACAACCCCTAAAGTTAATCTATACACTGGTGAAATTCTATAGCCAAGGAACCCAAGGAACCCATCTAGTAGTAGATTTCATCTCTGGAAACCTTTACTCTAAAATTGTCCGCTTCGGTGACCCGTGCAATGGTGACCACTTCCTGGGAATCCTGGGCAAGAATTGTTAGGGGAGGTAGCCATATATGTCAACACTTGGGTTTAGTACTTTGAAGGGCCGGGCTGCGAGGTGGGGAATCGATAAAATACAGTATCGTACTCAGTGGGAAAGGAGGGGGTGGGTGAAAGGGGGGTCAGGGTTGAACAGAAAATTGAGAGAGCAACTTTTCTTCCATATTTTTCCGGGATGAGTTAAAGTTAGTGCACGGCTAAATATTGAAGGCTTTCCTATGGATATTTTTCTTCTTTTGGTTCCTGCTCCTAGTATGGTAGGGGTTTCCGAGTGATCATTTGTGATCGATCTTGATCTCTATCCTTCTCACAATACTAGAAAAGTTGGATGGCCGCTACACCCTTCGGTCGAATGGGATTGGGACGAGCTATGCTGTTGTATAAAACTTGCTTAGACCCTGTTGTCCTGGCAAAGTATTAAAGTTACCGGACCATCCTCCAACTTTTGACCCCGGTCGTCTTTATGGGACATTTCAATCTTTGTTGGTCAGTTGATACTAAGAAGCGCTATTGCGCGGCTTGAACTAGGCTTCATGTTCTATCGTTCTGTGTTCGCTTGTCTCTGGGTTACAGGTACGGTAGGAATTCGGGAGAGAATGTAAAGTTCGACGAGATATACTATGGTTGAAGGTATTTTCAAGATTAGTGTTTTCTGAGTTTCACTCGTCTTCCGGGATAGTGGGGTTTCCCTCGTCGCTCTGGTTCACTGGGATATGATAGAGAATGGCCACCAACTCAATACACATGTGCTAAACGTCCACTGGCACAACTAATACATGATACTCGAACCCCCCGGCCTGTTGCCAGGGCTCCTCCATTCCTACCTTCCCTAATTACACCCATAAAACACTAGCTCTCCCTTCCTCCTGTTTAACTAGTGGTGCCCTGGTGCGGGGCCGTCTGTCTGTTGAATAGGGTTGTAATAGCGGGTATTGGAAAACTGATCGCCGTGCGGGTGCCGGTTCGAGATGTTCGAGCGCGAGTGATTGCGCATTGTGTTTTACTCCCTCCGTCATGATTTACCCAGCACGGCTAGAAGAAAAAGTGTGGCCGGGGAGATGGAACTATTTCTAAAGGCAGAACAGAGGTGGGTGTTTGTGTCCTTGGGAAGGACTGAAAGTTCAGATATGTCAAGCAGGTTATCGCAGGGCCCCGCACGGGATCCTCATGGAAAGGGTGGGGTTGGCACCGGGATGCTCTTGCAGGGTAAAGTGAATCAGTCGGACGAATGACAAGTCCCAGGCAACGGCTCATTATCCAGAACGAATGCCACAGCCCAGTAGAACCAGCGTCGCCATCCAGTGCGTGGCATAGCTCATCGACCCTTCAAACGGAACGTTCCGAATGAGAGACCCACACCGGCCCCAATGCACAGAATTCCCTGGGTCTGGTGTAAATTTCCATATCTAAAGGTTATTTTCCGGTCCATGAGTGCAAGTACTTGAACGTAGGGGGCAAAAGTTTGTATGGAAAATTGTCTGTGCACATCTGAGTGCCCATACTAGATTCAGGCTCAAATGTTCGGGCTCTTTTTGTATTCTGTTCAATCTTCGGAAAATGTTCGGGCTCTAAATGTCGGATACTTGTATAGGGCAAGAAATTCGTGCATATTACCGGATGTTTGTGCTGTGCTCGAGCAATTGCCTCTCCTAGGATTGCATCCATGCCCGGGAGACTCGATGTACTTGAGCCAACCAAGACTGATAGGGGGGGCAGTGTGAATCCTCTGACCCTCATCTATGATCGGGCGGGCAAAGCGAATGTGAAGGACGCCAATTCGCTGGAGAGACCTTTCCGATTATGTGGCAAAGTCTTCCGCACCGCCGGTGAGTTCGGCCCGTTTGGTGCTCGGTACGTCACCGCCGTAAGTACCCGAAAACAGGGATTATAGAAATATACCAGAATGGTACAACCTCTGTGCGTATATGAGCCCATGCAAACATACAGTACCCTGGTACCGGTACTTTATGGCTGGGGACAAGAAGTATCTGAAATACGGGTGGTGAGTTTGTTATACGCACGGAATTTCTTTTTGCCATATTTTGCGAATCTGTTTTCGGATGCTTCTTGCCTCGGACAAGCGCCCCGACTGCGAATCCCAGGTCTTTCATTAAGGATATGACCCTGGATGGCTTTGTGGGCAGCATCTCGCTTCTCGAGTTTGACCCCCTGTGAGAGCCGCTCGCTGCGGAAACCGCGTCAACCCGGGGATGTGACACCAGGGGCACAATTCCTAAAAGCCCGTGGGTTCCCTAAGGCGCCTCTTGCGGGTTAGTCTTGCGATAAGCTATGGAAGGAGGCGTGAGCGAGATGTCCTTGCATTATACGAATGAAAAGTTGTTTTCCCAACTCGATACGATTGATGTGCAAGAATTCTGTAAGGGTCCCATATAGCAGCGCTGGGGATCCGGGAGGGCGAGCGAAAGCCCGGTAAAACGGATTTTTGGTGGGGAGATTGAGGCTTTAGCTAAGCCGTCAGGGCTTGCCACAACTAACTGAAAAAATTGTTGCAGGGACTTTGCACACTCACCCTCCCAGGCTTCTCGCGCCATATCTAGTCGCAGATCGAGTTGGGGATGGCCCAAACCATAGCTATAGGCGTTCTATTTGTTGGTCTAGGGCATATAATTTGGTGGGGATTAGGCAGCATACCTTTGATAGAGATCACCTCCCGGTAGATGACCAGGCGGCCCCCCAGACCACACGGAAAGCTGGACGGTAATGGGAAACTTTGGGTAGTTCTCCAAGATCCACCGGTCAGCGTTTGTCCGGGTGGCCTGGCAGGCCACCTGGTGGGGGTGTTTGCTTGGTTCGGGCAACGAGGAAACAGACGATGTTGGTGTTTTGAATGAAAGATGGTGGGGATAAGGGGCTCTTTTGTACCGATCAGTGGTGGGATCCAAGAAGGGGCAATGGGAAGATGTACCGCCGGTCTTTGGCCGGGAGGGGTTGGACCGGGTCCTCTGAGTGAGGGGTAAAAGACGGCACTGGTATCACCAACCAGGTAGCAGTAGACTCAAGGAGGACCAACGAACCTCGCTGCGGCTACGGAGAAACGGAGGGTGGGACTGCATACATAAAAGGACAACTCCACAAACGCAGCGTAAGCATTTCCACACCGAGGGGACGCCACCCCGATTCCGTCGCGGCTACGATAGGAGAAAACAGCCTACATTGCAATCAGGTTGGTTTTGTGCTTTACGAGCGGTGAACAATCGTGTGTAAAAATCGGAGCATCGGGCACGATATTTCACCACTATCGATCGTACCAAGCGAAACCGAATCTTACCGATATTCTTGAGCAGAGAGGAATACTATACGGGTATTGTGAGTATCATATCCAATTCGTGGGGAACACAGATGCACGTAGGCGTGTGACCAAACAGAAAGCAAGGGACGCCACAGCATTGATATCGGTACAGTGCCGGTATCTGATTCCATCCTACCCATCCTCTGTACTGTAATCTATGATCTTCCCGTCTCATCGGATGAATTAGGCTTGCTGGTTAAACCAACCCAATCAAAAAACCCTGTGGGAACCCTACGCTGCTGGACTGCCCAAGATAAGCTCCCGAGAACGGGTTGAAGAGCGGTAGATGATTCTTGATCCGGGGTTTCAAATCTAGCGCCTCAACGCCTGGCCCGTCCCGATTAATGAAGGGCGCATATGATACAATACCGGCACATGTTTTTCTTATGCAACCTCTGATGCACCACTTATTTTTCTGAGAAGGGATTGGTGATCTGTGCAATTGCTCGAGGACCTTCATTTTTCGCACCTTATCGCTTGACGGGCCCGCTGCATGTCCCATCACTACACCGATCACTTGCGCCGGTCTCCTGCACAATCGCTTTGGGGCCCCGCTTGGCTCGCTATAAACACGAAATTCTTCCCGCCTTTAGCTCAGTCTCCTCTACCATAAAAACACTGTGACACTGCCCTCTCGCTACTGCGGAGGGCTTTCGGCCCGGCCTGTGGGCCCCGTACAAGTACCAGGTATGATAATTGGTCTCTGGTTTCAACAATCTGCAGGGTAGGTGTTATTCGAATAAGGGCATGGTTTGGCTGGATTGATGAGTTTCAGCAGCAGAAACACCTCATTTTCAAGGGAGGCACTGTCTGCTGTTTTTCTATTATTAGGGGAATTCACGCCTCGCCCTTTTCAGAGTTTTGGTCGGCTTTGAGCTGCACCGAAACCGGTTTGCAGGTACCAGTACTAACTTGTAGGGGACTGGGCTCGTTTCTGAAGCCGGTTTTAATGCTGTGCGCCAGTGTTTAGCTTTGACGTGCTAACCAAGAATGATGCTGACTTGTACATGTATGCTGACTATGGGCCTTCAATCACCCGGTGTGCGGTACGTGCGGTACGTATTAGGCCCGTCGAGGTGTCATTGATCTATTAACTGCCACATCTGGCCTGAAATGTCTTTTTTCCATGCTACTAACCTGTGTGGGTTTGAGCCGAGTAATTAGCCCACGCACCACGCCCTCTACGAGTACCGGTACCGGTGTGATACCGATAGTACTGTACTGTACTCGTATCATACGTGCAGATAGCGTTGTAGACCGGAGTGCATACTAGCTTTGAGTCACCTATAGCGGCGCGACAAGCATGTCCCTGATTCGTGATGACCTTACCCACCGGAAGGCCCGCGACAACAGCTGTTGCTTGACTTATGTTCTTCGGAGGAGGGCGGTATGGGCTCCCGGGGGCGTAAATTTCCAGGTCCAGGCCACCTATTATGCGCAGCAAGCATAATATTTTAACCTAAATGAAGTTGGACGAGAGTTCTTGCGTGCCGGAGGCGGTGCCTATCGATGGAATTTCAACAACGACAGTCTTTTGGTGTGGAGAGATATGGCCGGCCGGAATCTGGGAAATGCTTTCCAGACGTCTACGGGAAGTCGTCCACTAGTATCGGTATCGATCTGTCGAAACGCAGGTTGGGATGGATGCCCAGCCTAGTCTATATGTCGCTATAGAGCTCCGCCCAAGATATTTCTGGGTGTCACCCCATTATCTGTTTCTGGGCAATAGGGACCCATTGGGCACGATTCCATGTTCTAGGACCTCATCTGTTCATGCCGAGCGACCCCGCGCGAGATGTCTCATGAATATGATACGGTATCCTGGCGGCATCGCTATGCCGTGGATCCCCCAATCCGGGGACTGCTAAGAAGGGAACAAGAAAAAGTGACCAGCAGAACACGCATGGCGCCCGCACCATCGCGGCCCATCGCGGCAAGCCCTAGGGCTTTGTTCGGCAGCAGCGGCATATTGGCCGCAACGCCTCGCGGAGGCGCAGGCATTGGCGCCGGCGGAACAATTCTAGTTGGCCCTGAGGATATTTTTCCGGAGATCCTCCTGATTTCCCTGGGCCCGTTAGATATCTATTGGATCCTAATAAGGCCTCCCTTGCTCTTGGAGAAATGGCTCAATTGGCGCAGGCTGCTTAACGGCAGCAAGGTACCGGCAATCCAACACGTTTAGAGGTTGTGCAGGAGATAGGGGAATACGGTAGTGGATGAGTGACAGGCACATTTCCTGATCCATATATTTGGTCCCGGGGATCATACTGGAGTATAAAATCAGGTTCTGAACCGCGAAAGACCCCCGAAAGGAATGATTTGTTCACAGCATGAACGCCGTGGGAAGGACCGGGGGTTGGTGGATGAGAGATTTTCCGAGACTCCGTGCCCATCCCGGACGCGACACCAAGCCGTCCAATCCGCACCTTTGTACGAGTACCGGTATCGTGCCAGGGAGAGTCTCTGTGCTGTACTCGTACGAGCGCTGCACCGTTTTCAAAAGGAAAAGAACACGACTTTTTCACGGGGAGATCCGGGATTCCTTGCGGTATGTACCAGTACTTACCGGACCGTATAGTCCTCGCTGACCAGAGGGGAGGTGCAGTACGGTAGAACAGTCGTCAATGCGAGCGCCATATCTGGTGCCTTGGGTGTCCTGGGTGCGCACATATGGGCAGCGTGAGTCCCCTGAGGGCCCGGAAAGGTGATCCTTGTCTATCTCTCTGTTCTCAATCGACCCCCGATCGCTTCGTTCCTTTTTCTTCCCTTCCGCACACACACACACCACATGCACAATCTACCAAACAAATCTTACTCGAGCACCAGCGTCCGCAGCATACTCGTACGGTATTCCATCGACACTCACCTGTGCTCTCTACTCGAGTACCCCATCGAAACAAGACGACAGCGGTCCGTTGGTTCCAGGATCCGGCTACCGGTATTACTTTCCCCCATTCCTCCACTGCCACATCCGTACCGAGTCACCCAATTCCGGCCATCGAGCTGTCACCCGTATTCGAGCCTCGGGCTTTCTCGCCGTCTTTACGCCGACTTCACGCCGACTTCATTGAAAGCTCATTCCCTCTGCTCTGGAAAGTAGTCCAGATCAGGGAATAAATAAATCCCTCGCATTGGCACGAGCAAGTGGTAAACATCCTCCTGACCGCCCCCTTTTGTTTTTTTTGTTTTTTCGCCCCGTCTACAAGTGTTGTACCCCCATAGAAAATCGCTTCTATCTGCATCACCTGCCACGAATTGGGTTATGTGCTTGGCCGCTAGGCTTGTCACTACAATGATACTAGCTATCATACCGTACCGGTACTCAACTTCCTTGCCCCCTCTCCCCCCCTCCGCCGCGCGGTCGAGGCTGCCTAGGTTGTTCCTGCCTTGTACCCCCCCCCCCCCCCACTTCCTAACCCCATTCCACCCCTCCACACTTACCTCATGCCTAGAATCAACTCCCTAGAAGTAAAAATAATAATGATGATTAAATCAATAAAAAAGTTGCCTTTTTTTACCCCTCACCCTCCCACCATTCATCATCCCGGCCATCATCCCTCCCCATCCCATCTATTAAACCTTCTGCAAAGGTGAAGTCCTCAACTTCGACCCTCTCCTCCTCCTCCTCCTCCACCTCAATTCTTCGTGCTTTATCACTCGCCGTTGCCTTTGGTGCTGTCTTTCTGCAATTCTTCATCAATCCGTTCATACCGACACCGACCCCCCCAAACTTGAGGAGTAGTCCGACGAGTCCGACAAGGCTGGTGGCCAGTGATATATTCGGGTGTCAGAGTACAAGCGCTGCAGAGAAATCCGTACGGAGTGACATAGTTTGCCCCCGAACTGGTCACGAGGAAATTTTCCTGAGGGAGCGTTCATTGTTGTCGTGGTCTGGGGAAGAGGCTCTTGACGTTGCGTCGCCAGAGAAACAATCTGGAAAGGAAGCCTCTGAAACTGGGCCCCCTCCATCTGCGACCAAGAAGCCACGTGCTGCCTCTCATAATCCTGACGTGATTTCTCCCGGCTCTCTAACCTCGTCGGAGAGCATTTCCTTGTTCGAGTATACTTCCAAAATCACTGCACAACAAACTCTAGATAGCGGTATGTCGCTTGTGGAGAAGGCTACGGAAATTGCGGGGGAGCTTGAGTACTCCCCCGAGCAGGTTCGTAGAGGCGTAACGGAATTTTTGAGGCTGATGGGTGAGTTTATTGTTACCGTCTGGTCCAGACTTTTTGCTCTCTTCGTTTTTTTGCCTGCGTTTGCTAATGGTAGGATAGACGATGGGTTACAGAACGATGGAAGGGATATGACGATGATCCCAACATACGTTACTAGCGTTCCTAATGGAACCGAGAAGGTAAAAAATTCTCCCCAGATTCGGTGTTTGGGTCCAATCGGATGCTCGATGTTTTGCGTGGCGCCTCGTTTCATGTGCTCGAGTGTGAGAAGGGAATGCATTTTTGACCGATTCCCGCCCAAGTGTGGCTTGTAATTGGGCTGGCGTGTGCATCAATATTTCACAGCGCTGATCTAACTGGGTATAGGGAGTCTATCTTGCTGTCGATCTCGGCGGTACCAATTTTCGTGTTTGTTCGGTGGTCTTGAATGGAGATACCACCTTTGATCTCACACAGTCCAAGGTTGCTATCCCGAAAGCCTTGATGGTTTCCGACTCCCACTCGCTCTTCTCGTTCCTTGCCAAGCAGGTTGCCGATTTTGTCGAAACGCATCATTCGGATCACTTCTCCGAGGACCCAGAGCACCATTTACGCCTTGGATTCACTTTCTCCTTTCCTGTTGACCAGAAAGCCATTAACAAGGGCTATCTCATTCGGTGGACCAAGGGCTTTGATATTCCCGACGCTATTGGCAAGGACGTTTGTGCCCTACTCCAGAATGAAATTGATGCTCTAGGCCTCCCTGTCAAGGTTGCTGCCCTGGTCAATGACACTGTTGGAACCCTTATGGCTAGATCCTACACATCACCGGGAAAAACCGGTACACTGCTCGGTGCGATTTTCGGAACTGGAACCAACGGGGCCTATGTGGAGAAGCTCGATCGCATAACTAAGATGACTTCTGCGTCTGCCAAAGATGTTGGTGAATACGACACTTCAACCGGCGAGATGGTTGTCAACACTGAATGGGGAAGCTTTGATAATGCTGTAAACGTTCTCCCCGACTCGCCTTACGACAGGTTGCTTGACCAGAATTCGGTCAACCCTGGGATCCAGATGTTCGAGAAGCGTGTCAGTGGGATGTTCCTTGGAGAAATTCTGCGAAATGCGATTCTTTCGATGAAGCAGGATGTAGGGCTGTTTGCTACCTCTACTATTGCGGAAGATTCTGTTCTGAATACCCCCTGGAGCATAGATACCTCTTTGCTATCTTACATAGAAGCGGACTCGACCGAGGATTTCTCCGTCACCAAGGAACAACTGCAGAAAGACCTGGGAATTTCTGCCTCCACAATTTCCGATGACGAAGCCCGGGCAGCTAAAATTCTTGTTCACGCAATCGGTAAACGATCGGCCCGTTTATCCGCCGTGCCAATTGCAGCTATTGTTATCGCGACGGGCAAACTCTCGCCGCCTGCCCAGGCTCCGATTGATGATCTTGGCTTGAAGGACCTGTCACTTGTAGGACAGGGAATTGAAATACTGAGGAGAGCAATTGGGGGGAGATCACCAGCCGATCTATCGGCCGACGCGCCACTACCGGATATCCAGGATGAGGAGCCGATTGATATAGGTGTTGACGGTAGCGTTGTGGAGTTCTATCCCGGTTTCGAAGAGTACGTTAGGGAGGCCCTGAGAGATGTTCCCGAGTTTGGAGAGAAAGGCGAGAAGCGGATTAGGATGGGGGTTGCCAAGGACGGTAGTGGGGTTGGGGCTGCCTTGATTGCATTGGTAGCGAAGATGCAATATTCTCAGTGATCCGAAGGACAATATTTCTTGTCATTTCTTTGCTTCTTTTCGTGGGCTTTTCACTTTCCCCTTTCCCTGGTTGTGTAGCGGAGTATGTGTACGAGTACAAGTACTATTGGGCTTTTCACCCTTGTCGGATTCGCACCGTTTTGATTGGCTCCTTGTTTACCGCAATGGTATGTACATCAAGTCACGAGTTACTGACTCTCACCCCCCTTTTCCTCTTTCTCAATTGTTTTAAAATATGTAAGTTTTTTGTATGGCTATATTAAATATGCGAGATCTGGTTATCCTTTGAGTACGTCTATCTCTATGTGAGTATTGATACTGGATATGTAGCTCCGGCAACCTAAATAAGAACGACAGTTGTAACTTATATCATTTTCTGGCTCCACCGACCGACCGCCCAGGGTAAGTTATGGAGCTGCGATAGCCTCTAGGGCCTACATTGACTCAGAGCGCCGTGAGGTACATGAGTCTGACGCGAGTGGCTAATAAACCTGGAGTACTCGAGTACAGTACTCGTACAATATCATACCGCGACCTCTAGAAAGCCACTTGTGGGGCTGTGCTGGCTGCTTCCATGATTGAAGTTCGAGCACCCAGCACCCTCCCTACAGTCGAGTGCTCTACCAATCCGGACCATTTATCTCGAGACTGCAAAAACCATAAATACAACACTAGCGACAATTCCTCCTGCGGTATTTTTTTTGCGAGTGCCCCGTCCGCCCATAAGTTGCACACGCCTGACCAACTCCTATGGAAACGGTGTCAATTCTCTCTGGATAACCTACCACAGATCCCCCGAGGGAGGCCCTTTTAACACGTTTATCTTCAAATTCGATTTTCCCGCCCCCCCGGTGTGGTGTTCCCCGAGATATAGGAATATCTTTACACCCTCCTTACCGGTGTCCGAGGGAGATTGGGATGGAAGGTGTTGCGGTACCGTGTCAAGCTCCGGTCGCTCAGTTCTCACTCTGGCAATCTCCCGCTGCTTGGGCAGTCTATTAGAAGGCACTCAACGCCCCACGGCTTTTTCATTGGGTGGGCTGGGGGGTTCATTGGCTTACGGTCACGGGCTCTTGTGAATGTTTCGGCACGCTTACTTGTACTTCTGTTCTTCACTTACGGCATTTCCTTCTTGCTTACGCTGGTGTTTAGGCCTGCCATGGGCTTAACCCCGGCGCGAAAGCCCAGTGATTGCTGGATAGTTACGTGGGCGGGAGCTAATCAGGCTTTTCTGCAGGCCCTGGAGTTGTGTGCAAATGGCTATGGACGGGGGAATGGGAGTGTATGTGTCAACCTTTTTTCATTCTTCTACATGCCAACTAAATTGTTATCGATGTACGGCGTGGGATACTCCCCCTAGCCCATGGGCCCCCTTAACGAAATTCCCTCCGCTCCACCTAGTGCCTAGCCAAATAATATTCCTTCATAAAAGAGACCCACCCCGTCCCCCCTGGGCACAGTGGTCATGTACTCGGGGGTAACCAAAAGTCGGATGCATTTCCAAAATGGGCAGAGCTTTAATATAGGGGCTAACACAAATCAGGAAAGATGAGTGATATGCAATGATCACAATAGGTGGTAGATAAAAGTCTTGTGCACTCCCAGTGGTGTCTATTCTATTTACAAACTAGTAGGCTGTTGCTCCTCCTTCTGCATCTATTACTACATGTAGATGCTGTGGCATACTGTGAATTAAACTTTCTAGCCTATTTGTAGGAATCTGATAGGAGATAGGAAACTCTAAGAACATATGAGTATGTACAAGTCCCTGGCATGAACGGACTGAACAGCAGGGGGTTCCGGTGGCTGAAAGTCCTTTGCCAAGGACACTGAATCACCCCTGTAAATAGCAAAAGTAGTTAGCATAAATGTAATCAAAAAGGGTGAAATTTAGTGAAAAAAAGAGATATTCTCTGCATCACTTGAATATATAAACATTAAACTAAATATTAAATACTAAAAAATAATAATAAATAATAATAAATACAAAAAAAGTTAAAGTAAAAGTTCACCAGCAAGTATGGCCACTGGAAGCAGCAATAATAGCCTGTATTCTTTCCGGCATTGAATCCACAAAGGTTAAAAGATGCTCCTCTGAAATAGAATCCCATACCTTCCTTATTGCCTCCTCCTTGCTCTCCAACCCTCATTGCCGTGGATGCCGCTTGTTTAATTTATCTTTTAAGATAAACCAAACATTCTTAATTGGATTGAGATCCGGGGATGAGGGCAGCCAGTTGAGTTTGGAAATACCATACTGCTCCTGGATCCGCCATGTATGATGTGCCTGGTGAGCAGAGGCTCCATCCTCCATGAGCCGGAGAGGATGAGCAGTATGCTCACTCTCCTGCTCCCAAAATGGTTTGAGTACTGGGATAAGGACATTGTCAACATAACGTTTGGATGTTATGGTACCCCAGTCCTTATCCCAGAGAACAGGGTCGCATTTCTTTGCCCCCAAAATACTACTCCATACCATAATCGTATCCTGCTTGGGAAACTTAGGGAGGAGGCAATCATTGTGATACTCCTCCCCTGAGCGCTGGGTCACCCAAACCCGACTTGTGTGATCAGACAGCCAAACATAACACTCATCGGTCTAAATAACCCGGCGCCAATCCTCCTTCCTCCAATCCTGATGGGCTATTGCAAATGCTAGACGTAGCCCTCTCTTTCGCTCATCAAGAAAAGGCTTCTTTCGAGCAATCCTCCTAGAATAGCCTTCCATCCGGAAGGCTTTCTGGAGGGTTCTATTACAAGGTTGAATACCACAAGCCACTGCGACTTCAGTAAGCCGCATTCTTCGGTGAGCGGCACTCATGGTAGCGGTAGCTACTAGCTGTCGGCAAGTCGGAGTATCGAGGAAAAACTGCCTTCCCTTTAGTTTTTTTGGAGTGGAGGGAGTATTGTCCTAGTAGATATTAAAGACTGTGCCAATGCTAAGTTTCTGGTCTTCAGCAATTTGGCGGTAGGTCCAACCTGCTGAATTGCACAAGGTCTGGACTGTGTATCACTGTTTATAGGTTGTTCATTCACGCTTTTCAGCTTCCATTCTTTAGAATACTATATTTGTAAGTGACCGTTCATGATTCTCTCTGTTTGGGAATAATTTACTTATTGGCAATGTTTTTTTTCTCTAGTTTGGAAGTCTGTATGTATATGCCAGTGTTCACAATATTTAACAGTATAGATACTTCATGCTAGTATGCAGTGACTGGGGACACGTTGGCTTTTTAATTAAACTTCCCCCTTTTTGATTACATTTATGCTAACTACTTTCGCTATTTACAGGGGTGATTCAGTGTTCTTGGCAAAGGACTTTCAGCTACTGGAACCCCCCCCTACTGTTCGGTCTGTTCATGCCAGGGACCTGTACTAGTAGGTCTCAGGCTCAGAGTTTCCTTGTTTGGAGATAGTTGAGAAGACATAATAAGATAGAAGTTAAAGTAGAACTAATATATTAATAAGATCTCTTCTCTGAAGAATGAGCTAAAAATACAGTAAAATATAAGTAATTAAGCTCTTCTGAAAGATACTGGCATGAAAAAGTAAAATACTAGGTCTTATAAGAGTAGGTAGTTTGAGTAACATACTACATAACTCAAATTATTTGAGATTTCATGATTGTAGATTGCCAGCTTGGTAAGTAATCAATGATTAATTACAAGTCCTGTATTGCTAAACAAATTGTAAAATATCATACATCAATAAAGGATGATTAGAAGAAAAGTTAGGAATATGAAAAGATAGCTTATAATTGTAATATAACTTATTTATATTATACAAATGACAAAGAAATTAATTCACCTGCATGTTGGACTCTGCCTTCACTTTTCCCACCATTGAGTTCTTTGCTTGCAGACAATGGTAATGTGTATATAGTTGTTGGAGATAGTAGTACTTCTAGTACAAGTCTGCATTTATACTGAGTAAGTAAATAGTCATTTGGTACAAACAGCTGATACTTAAGAACTTGAAGAACAAAGATAAATTACAAAAGGACCAGTTTTACTAGGAGTAGAAAATATGTCATACTACAGGAGTTTCTTTTTTCTTGTTCTGATATTAGTAGACTAGAGTTTTACTAATAAGAAGTAAGAAATGTCCTAGCTATCTACTCTGGAATCTCTACTTTATTCTGGGTAATATAAAAAGCTATCGTAACTGTTAGGCTATAAGACTTCTACTTTACTCATTTTATAACTTAATAAAATAGCTATTCTGCAAATCTTGTAACTCAATAAGATAGCCATTTGGCCTATCTCATAATATAATAAGATGTCCACTTTACTCAAATTCATGATGTGTCATGTCTCTGAGATATTTTATACTGAGCAGAAGCTGCTGATTAGAATCTACTAGTATCCTGATAGAGATACTATTCAAGTTAGTGAAGAGCTCATCTACAGTAATACATAGGTCCTATATATAGTGATTTGGAACTAAAAAGACATACTAGATTGAGTAAATCAAGATTAGATTCTATGTAATATAATAGGATAGAAAAGATAGGTGAATAATATATCTAGTCAACCCTCTCAATTTGGCTATTTAGGATAATGTAATACAGGTAGAAAATAACTTTTACCCTATTGTTATGATTTGGAGTAAAGGTTTTCTACAAAATTATGATCCTAATAGTACCACTAGTCCTTTCTAGCCAGTGACAGCTATTATTTATTAATTCAATATCAGATTCTGACCAAGTAGACTTGAGTACCACAGATGAATTATCTCTTTGTATACCATTAATATATGGAGTCTGTACCATCTTGTTGGGTGTCTTATTTGTAGTAGCATAGATTTTAGGGATAATGGGACAGGCTACTATTTTAATTACATTGTGTTGGAAGTTTGTAAGATTAAGTCCAAGTAGTATACTAGGACTTCAGCTCCTGATTTCAAAATAGTACCTAAAATAAAGAAAACTATCAGCTAACTACTAGTACATCTCAGATGAAGTACTGATCCAGGAAACTCGGCATTCAGAAAGCTCAGTAGGCATAATGAGTCTTAAATAGCTATCAGGAACAGGGTAGTGAGTCCTGATAGTTACTAATATCTCCATCTTTAGAAGGGAAGAATACTTACTGAGAACCACTTGCATCAAGGTTATATTTAGGATTCACAAGGTATGTAGAGATGTGTAAAGCTATCTTTTGATTGAGGTCAGTAAACCCAAGAAACTACAAGTTTCAACAGTATTCCTAATTGGCCAGAGAATTTCTTAAGCAATATCAATATTTCTTAGACAGAGAGAGAGCTTGTGTATGTATAGATCATGATTGTTGGGAGTAAATAAATATAAGTACCAAATATACAAGTAGCTTGGTCTCAGATTTCATCTCATTCTTTGATACTATATTGGGTGGTTTGGTTTGGGCGGCCTGGCCCAGTTGGTGAAAGTTATCCATGATCTTGGCATAATGAAGTTCGGGCTTCATGAACTACTCAGCTTAAGCTATCCACCTCATAGCAGCCATGTCTACTCTCAATCTATCCCGATCCTAACTCTCTATCTGATCCATGATGGCACCGTAAGCATTCCAGAACTCCAACCTATTTGTTCTCACATTGTGTTTTTATTACCTACAATGTCCGGTATTGTGATTTCTTGCAATATCACATTGATATTCCAGGAGACTAGCAAGAACCTATATATCTATTCATAAGTGGATAATTTGACCTAACTTCCTGTTGCTTTTGCTTATATATTGAAAATATATTCAGGAATTTTGCTCAAGATATCAACTCCCAGAATACTATCCATCTCATCCAGGGTTGTAGCATCGCCCCGCCTACTACGAAGATATCTCACGATATCATCTCTCCCAGGAGTGATGGGCATCCTTATAGAAAACAGATTCCCGATTTCTGCCTGAACAGGTGCCCTGCTAGCTGCAAATATTTGAGTACCTGGAGACTTTTTGAGGATTTGATTTAACGAACTAAAAACCCTGAGCTAATATTCAGCTGCACATTTGCCCACAGTATTGATGCATATCAATGAGCACTTTGCAGAGGAGGTAGTCCATAGTATCTTCGGAATATCTGCAATGTGCTGGCCCGCCCACCATTGGCCTTCTAGTCTCTATAGGCTTGTGCTGTTTCCCACGGTACCTCCCATAGTACCTCCCACATTCTGCTCGCAATCTGTTCTAGCACGTCTCCTAGCATACTGGTCAATCACTACTCCCTTTCCGGGGCTAGGTAAAAGTATAAGGTATTCGACGATGACCGTTTATTCTCTGACAGGGTCACAATCCGCCTAGCACTGATGAGCTAACATCGTGGCTTGTCAGCACCCCCCCCCCCCTCCCATCCCCTCCGTTCTGTCTTGCAATATAAAGTATGTATTCTGACCCCTGGATCTCTATAACAATACCAAACCAGGTTATTGGATTCACCACCTTCTCTACCAGCGTACCAGCTTCTAAATTCCCCGGCTTGTAAGAGCCATTTACCTTTATTTTCGACATGGAGGTCTTGAATTTCCTGATGTTGTAAGCTGGATTCTAGTGGAAATAAACAGGCTAGGATATTAGATCAGTCATCAGCACAAGTAAAGTTATATGTAACAGCCGTGTTCAAAGAGTTGATATTATTGAGGAGGTTTTATTGTCATCTAAGTGATATGGAGACACTTTCACAGTTTGGGAACTGGACGAGGATATGTACTTGGGCCAGTAGGTCAACAGGATCATGCGGGGCTGGAAGTGAACAGGGTCTTTTGGGTAACCTCAAGAATACCCCCGGACCGCCCAATCAATCTCCTTTAGATTTGCGTTGACAATACCCAGATTGTGCTTACCACATTAGTAGTAGTTAATCAATAGTGCTCATCCTAACTCTACCTATCTGGCTTGGCTATCAAAAGACAACTATGGTCAAAACCGCCTTCCAGCCTAATACTAAACAAATTAAGGCATCAAAGAAAGACAACCATCTCCGCTTTAGTCACATGTGCTTACTCGGCACGTGATACCCCCTCAACGCGATCCTGTAGTACAACACAATCCTCAAACTAGGATCAATGAATACTCTAGAGTGCCTGCCGTGGAATCGGCTAGCTTGGTGTAAGCCAGAGAATATTGTAAGATATAACAGTGAGGTCCAAGCACTTCAGATCCACAAGTTTCCGAAACGCAGCTTTGTTCGTGGATTGAGGTAAAATTTCTTTCCATTTCCATCATGGTTACCTTATAACCCCAAAGTATTCTCGGTGGAGGCGGGGGTTGGGTTTGATTTGGGGTGGTGTTGGAGAGGACCGGTTTTAACATCTTTACTTTATTTCGGGTAGTGCCAGTGAGTGGAAATTGGGTGTTTTATTTCTGGAAATGTATTACTCGTACGAGCCTGCACCTGGGGTCTTGATGAACATAGAAAATCATGGCCCTTATCTTTACAGAACCTGGAATGATGTTGCGGGAAGAGCTTTCTGGCCTGTATGGAAAGTACAAAGAATTATGGTGTAATGCTTCAAGTCAGGCAATGTATAAACTTTTCAACCGATTCAATTATAAGTCTTGTTGTACAGTACTTGTATATATATTCCAAGGGCGCCAGTCCCACAGCAGGCGCTTGAGGGTGTTCATTCATCGTAGCTCAAGATTTGCTCGTAGAGTATAATGCTACAGGATAACACCTAGGATGATACCTAAAGAAGCGCTGCGTTTGCTTCCTCCGATGTCGAAGGCACATGCAGGGTGTTCTTGGTACAAATTTAGGGGGAATTGATGGCACAGCCCTGAGGTATCCTTAAGGTACTATAAACATCCCACCTTTCTCCAGCTCGCCGTGATTCTACAAGTATCAACCGACCAACCCAATCACCGATCCTCTACAAGTTTCCAAACAGCGATGTCTCAATATCACTCAAACAACAACACCAGTTTCCCCACTAACATTTACTCTTTGACCACAACTGTTATGAACAACTCCACCAGATCACGACACCGGAATATTCAAGACGGCCAAGTCAAAAATGTGAGGAAATAGGGCGTAGGAATAGCGGAATTTGGAAGCTGATATGCCTGTAGTGGGTGGGGTGAATCCAATACCGTAAGTACTCAGATGAGAGAAAAATGTACTAAGACATTGTAGTTGCCTCTCCGAGCAAGGCGTCGTGCGTATTCCGTTTAGTTTGTCTCAAGTGAGGGCTAGAATTGCAGTGCCTTCCCCTTGCGTAGCCGAGAAGAGGAATTCCGATGTCCTGTCACATTTTTCTTCTATTTGAGTACTTATGGTAAGGTAGTTTTGTTTTACTACGGAAATTCGAGGCTCGGCAAGATATATTTTAGGTGCAAGTATGAAGGTCGAGCAGTGGAAGAAAAAGGGCAAACCCTAGCAAGCTGTGATATCAGCTCATTAGCGATAGATTACATGGGGGTACTGTCTTGAGATGGAAAGAGGTCTGAAGAGGATTTTATTTTATTTTGCTGGCATAGCATACTCAAATTTCTGACTTAATTTGAAAGCCGTTTTCTGCCGGGCAAAGTAATTTCATACTATAGCCGCTCAATTGCACTCCAGTCAAGAGACTAGATGTGATCAAGGGGGGTCAAGGGAGGGTTTACCAAATGACCTTTAAAAGGGGAGGGGGGTTGACCAAGGCTGAATTTCCTGATGCTTTTCGCTTTTTTCAGTATTACCAAAGTTTTTTTTTTTGAAGGCAATTGTACCGATGAAGGCATGCAGGCAGAAGTGTTGAGGTCAACTGAAGGATATATTCTGAATTAGTTTTCTTTATCTACCTTTTTCTCTCTAACTTTTTCATATAGCTGTATAATATTGCAGTATTGATTCAGCTATTGTAGCATATTTTTATGGATTTTCTAAACCCCTTCAGACCTTCGAAGAGGGAGTTCATAAATGTGGGCTCCAAGGCCTTCGTTGATTTTTATCCCTAACCCCTCCCCCCTTCATGCCAACGTTGGTATCGAAGGATGCTTTGGACTTAATGTAATGAGATTGGTGCAATACTTGGAATCTGCTCCTGATCTTATCTGCCCGTACTTACTGTACCTGATTAGTAATCTGTTTCCACGAATGAGATCATACCATCAGCCACACACGAACGCCGCATCAAAGTGGCATCCCAAGGAAAAAAAAAATTTCACCCTCCGAAGAGCCTCCTTGGAGAGAAGAAAAGTTCACACGTTACACAGTCTTTTTCTCCCAACTTTGTTTCCCACTCGCAAACCACACATTAAATGTTCCAGCAACAGTTATCATAACCGCCCCTCCACCCCTCCTACATAGCTAAAGAAACAAAAACCCCGAGCCCTCCTCCCCTCCTCCCCTTCTATATGCACGCCCATATTCCACGGTCGACCTATTCATCCTCACCGCTGCTAGTCCTCCGACATTCGTTCCTGGCATCGCAATGCCGGCGGCTCTCCTCTTCTTCTTTCCGGGGGCAAAGCGTAGTCTCTCGGAGGTGTTGTTCTAACACCCTGCCGCCAATTGCCCCGCAACGGCCAACAGCAGCGACGGTGGAGGCGGGGTGTTCAAGGCCATTGGTAACTAGCTCGAGGATGAGCACGAGCATTATTGAGGTCTTGTTTGGGAAACGGGTCAAGAAGGGAATAGAAAGGGAGGCAGGAGTTAGCTCGAGGTATTTGGACTCTGGGACTGAAGATGCTATTCTGGGGCGGAGTTTGCTGCATAAGAACCATAACGATGAATTTTTGAGATGCACGGAGTTTGACCGGGAGGGTGAGATTCCCTCTTTTCCTCTTTTCCTGGGGGATGTGTTGATTGGGCTGCAGGAAATGTTACGGTGGTATCTGGAGAATTTAAGAAGAATGAGCTGTGTGCTAAGGTTTGATTGCCTTTTTGGTCAAGATGATAGGGTACTAAATTGGCCGCGGTGGATAGCATGGATTAATGGCTCGGGATCTCCGTAAACTTTGGGTTCCCAGTATAATCGTACCACATATTCTCGTCCGGAAGAACTCAATTCTTGTCAACCTATTACACATCCGGGCACTGATCAAGGCGGACACAATCTTGCTATTTGATGTTTACGGCTCGACCGACTCTTACACACAATCGGTCTTTATGTACGATCTTGAGGGAAAACTACGGCAAGGATCAAAGGCTATGGGCGGTCTCCCATACGAAATGCGGGCACTGGAAGCGATCTTAATCTCCGTCACGGCTGCCCTAGAAGCTGAAATGAAGGTTTTACAGGAGCTTGTTATCACTTTACTTGGGGAACTGGAAGAAGATATCGATAGAGACAAATTACGGCTATTACTTATTTACTCGAAAAAGTTGTCAACTTTCGAGCAGAAAGCTAAATTAATTAGGGATGCCATTGAAGAGATTCTGGAAGCGGATGACGACCTAGCGGACATGTACCTCACTGAAAAGATGTTGGGGAAGACCCGGCCGACAGAGGAGCACACGGAGATTGAAATGCTGCTTGAGTCGTACCATAAGATATGCGATGAGATTGTCCAAATTTCAAGTAATTTGGTCTCAAGCATTCGGAACACCGAGGAAATGTAACCTACCCACTTCATATACACAAGGAAGGATTTAGCTGACAACCTGAAGTGTCAATATTATCCTCGACGCAAACCGCAATTCCCTCATGCTCCTCGACCTCAAATTCTCCATCGGAACCCTGGGTATTGGCTCGGGTACCTTCATAGCCGGTCTCTACGGCATGAATCTCAAAAACTTTATCGAAGAGTCCGATCTAGCCTTCTGGGGTGTCTCCGGCTGGGCATTCATCTTCTCGGCGATCATATGTGCTTATGGACTCCACAAGCTCCGCCGAACCCAGCGCCTAACAATGTGGGGTGAGAGTGGAGCGAAAGAGGGTAAACGCGGCTGGCTGAGCCTTGGGAATAAAAAGACTGGTGGCAGCGCAGCCGCGAAGGCCAAATTAGCCGGCCGGTTCGATGCTCTTCAGAAACGGCGGTTCGGCAGCGTTATTGAGAGGAACCCGAGCAGTTTTCCGCCTCTGCAGTTGGTTCCAGATAAGAAGAGGTAAAGTAAATCATATGAAGATATTATTTTGTGTAAACTTATGATCTTGGTTTGTAATACTTTCTGTTTTCCATTTCTTTATTGTACACTTCCCAGTTTCTATATACGGTTGGGGCTTCTCATCGGGCTAGCCTAGGCGTTTGCTTTTTCCCCTCTCCTTTTTCCTTGATGGGGTTTTTCTGCCTTTTGGGCACAGTAATTTCTTGTTCCCCTTCTCCTCTCTATCTTCATTTCTTCTTTTGTTGATTTTTGGCGCGAAGGGATAGATACATGAGTTATTGTAGAAAATGTAAAGTATATCGAATCATGACATAGGCCGCGAGCGCGGCTTAAATATCAAGCAGTCGTTAAGTAGAAACACCGATGGCCAAGGCCCTATGCACGGGAAGGCCCCTCGTAATTCTTCCTTACTTCAATCTGGTCTCACCCATTCCCCGAATCGCTTTTGGCAGAGCGAGAAAAAGGTGGAAGTGTCGATAAGTTCTCCCACCGTCGGATTGATGAATAGGCGCGAGTGATGCATAGTGATCACTTGGATGGCTCAACCCTGAGTCTCACCATTGGCCCTCCATTTTGACGTTGGGGGCTGAAAAAGTCTCCTCTGGACAGTAAATATTGGCCCGGCAATTCTCCGCATTCTTTTCATATGACAAATCCCGAAACATCGACGGACTACGGTACTTTTACTGGAATTGGGCGAACCAGTTTCACACCCGACCTAATTCGGCAATGCATGATAAATATATACTAGTACAGACTGCAGAGTGGTACTAAAACTACAATCCACTCCCCCTAAAAAAACACTCCACGGTACTTGTACTTTTCCTCTCTCCGCACGAAGTGCACTGTACCAAAGCTAGTTAAGGTTCTCATGAGATGCTAATACTGGCCAATTTTCCTTCTGGTATACTACCGGAGTACTTCCTCCTCGCTTAACCGAACGGTGTAGGTGTCCGCTTTAAGATAATGTTGCCTTAATTAGGCTGGGGGTTTAGCGCCTCCAGAGCAATCTCCCTTGCGGCAGGGCATAGTACTCCAGTACAGTGATGTGCCAAGTAGGTACATAGAGACAGGATAGGAAAGTCGGATGTCGGCAATAGTGGTACTGGGAGCAGGCATCTGTATCATGATAGGCATATCCCCGGAGGAAGGGGGGAGGGGGGCGCGTGTAGTTAGAAACCTTGGATGTATGCCGCTTATTTACCTTGAGCTCTTCCCATTTCTTTCTTTCTGCTCATTCTCCCTCTATCACCCTTCTCCTGCTGGCGGTATTTTTTTTTTCCCCCTGACGGTATTATCGCTGAGCGGCCGTTTCCTTTCTCTCTTTTATTCCTTCCTTCTTTCTTTTTTTCATTCTTGTTAATATATACCACGAGCCGGGCTCCTCCACCTCCACCCTCCTTATGAAGTTCACCCTCATAACTGCTGGCCTGTTTACCGCTTCTTCTATCCTTACAACGGGCGCAAGCCCGCACAACCGCCGACGCGGACAATCAGAATGTGGAATTGGCCTCTACGGCGGGACCGTCAGCGAGATACCCGAGGTTTCAAAACCGCCCAATAGAAGTGACGACAACGACGGAGCGGGTATGTCGGACGGCTCTCGCGCTTTATACAACGCCGGGGTGGAAACACCCACGGCGACTACTGCCACTGATACCCCTGCGGCTACGCCTATCGTTATAAAGCGGGAGGTGCAGCACCTAGGGGGTAGCCATCGTGGGCATGGAATGGTGGTAACTCACTCAGAGGAGGGGGAGGAGGAGAGAGAGGTGGATATGCTGGTTTCGCTACTCAATCATTCTTTCGAGCACGAGCATTTACGGATTGGCGGGGAGTGCTCTCCAAAGCAGAAGAAGGGGTGCGCAGGGAATAGTCTTGTTGAGTGCGGGAGTGAGGGGGTTTGGGAGCTTGTTACGGATTGCGAGGTTCCTGGATTGGATCTTGTGTGTCGGGCTGTGAGGGAGCGGGATATCTGGAAGGGGGGTTGGGCGGCCAACGTTATTTGTTTAGAGAGGTGAGGATCCTAATGTGGATTTTCTTCTTCTTTTCTTTCCAGATAGTCGAAGAGTGCTGACTGGTGGTTAGTGATCTCGTGGAGTAGGGGAGGCTTTCGCTGTTTGGATGGGGAGGGGAATGGTAGTGGATCACATTCTATCACTCCATAGTGACAGATGTCTCATACAGGCCTCATATTCTGTTGTGTGTATATTTACTACCAGTTATTCTTGGAAGGATACTATACAATAATGGCAGTTTGGGAAAAGCGAGATCAGGATTACCAACCGGTCTTAATCGCTGATGTGGTACCAGTAGAGCATCATTCTTAGAGGGCCTACCCTTCCAACTCACACTATGAATGATTCTACAGAAAAGTCGAATAACCTGCAAATAGTGCGGTGACCATACAAGTTAGCCACGTATCCTAAAGTCCTATTATCTCATAGGGATATAGCCGTTACTACGCGCGACCAGTACTGTACAGTACTCCAGTAGTCGTGAATAGTCAATCAATAGCCACCTTCACTATTAGTGTCCTAACCCAAAATAGAGATACGATACCAGTAATTTTAGAGGAAGAAGGGAACATGAAAGCTCCTCCTCCCTGCTGCATACAGCTCCAACCAGCACAGACAAAATACCCTAAATCTCCCCTTGTTTTCCTTTACTCAGCACGGGCATAGTTTTGAAGACAGTCCTCACCACATGGAGTGCATCGCCTTATCAAAAAAGCCATGCAACCAATTGCAGCCACCCCTACCCAGCACAGTGCCGCAATTCCTCACCGGTGGTGCACGCATGTACCAGGGAAGATTACACTCCTGGAAGAGGAATTCGGGTCTGTGTCTCGATAAGTTAGAGTCAAGACACATTACTCACTCCACTCACATTATCTGGTCTTGAAACCGTCGTTCAGTCCGTATGATGATAAGTCCAGATCTAGAGTAGAGCTAGAGATGTCTACGGTGCAAGGCATCTTATTTCCATCGAGGGACCGAACGGACAGTATGTACAGTGCCGTACAGTAACTTGCAGTGGAAGTGAATATTCCCTCCACCCGCCACCCTTCAATCTCAACGATCGAGCCAACCACCGTTAATCCCATTGCCCCTCTTTTTCCAAAATTATACTGTCAATGCGTCCGGATTCCTGTATCGTAGGGTACTCATTATATCGCGGGCATGACTGGCCATTGCTAATATATGCGGTATTTTTCTAAGCGTGTGTGGTCAACGAAATGGAGTGGTAGAGGGGAGGGGGGGGTGATATTATTAACGGATACGCAATTTGGGCTTTGTTTTTTTTTCTTTTTCGCACTTCTTACTACCGGTACCTACTATGCATGGTGGGGCAGATCTTGGGGTGGTACAGTACGGTATGATATTATCACATTGCCTTTGCGGAGTTACGTTCCGTCTTACAGCCCGGTATGCTCGAGTAGTATGATACGATAACCTTGAGTTGGGTGGCTAGCTAGAGAGAGAGAGAGAGAGAGTAAATTGGCCACCCATAAACGAAGTATGCACACGAAGCCCCTCCGCTTCCTGTCCTTGGCTTTATCATACGGTGGGAATAGTGCGGTACCAGTAAGCTAAGTTAGCGTGTTACAAATCCGCAGCACTCTACCAGCACACTGAAAATACCGTTCTTTGTCATCTTAGGACATAACGACCACACACTACTGCTCGATTACAGCAAGATCTTGCAAAGTTTGGGGTGAACGTTTTCACGCAAATTGGGGTTGTGCGCGAGCAGCCAGAGATGGGCAGTTTTGGATCAAGTTTTCTACGCCATTCAAAATGTTTGGTGCTCGCGCTGAAATTTGGGGCTGTTCTGGACTGCGCTGTGCTCAAGTGCAGTACCGCACCAAGATCGATCATCAAATATCACTTCTTTATCGTATTTTAGTCTACCTCTCGTTCCTGCATTTACTAACTCGAAATTACTCCCAGTTATTGTTATCACTGCGAATTCCCCTCACCCCCATATCGAATTTGAAGGGTTGAAACTGCTCGAGTACTAATCCCATCGGAAACGAAACAACCAATTTACCGTACGAGGTGTGTTCTAAGCCTTTACAGATGTTGTGGTGGGAGGGGCTGGATCATAGTGTATGTATGGTGTTGCGCTTTTTTTTTTGTCCACGGCTTAGCAAAGAATTCCCCGTGCTATGTAAGCCCCAGCTCAGCAGGCCCAAACTTTAAATCATTGGGTTCTTAGCCGCACGTGTGTATTTCTAGTTATGATGGACTAATCCATGAGAGGGCCGGAGTGGAAAATGCAAAAACCAGAATGGCAATTCCTGACAGTGTTTTAGTGTGTTGACATCGCCACGCATCGATTGATCGGCAATGAGCCACACGTAATACCGGTACTCGAGTACAGTACAGTACACTCCCATAAATTCCCATCCGGGAACCAATTTATGTCTACAAGTATCACACAGGTACAGTTCAGTATCACTAACCCAACCCTTATCAAATCACCGGAGGGGGCAAAGACTCTCCCTCTCCCAGGTGACAAACAAAGAATAAAAAATAAACAGCAAAATTAGACCTTTTCCCAAGGACACACTCAGCACCAAACGGACCCGGTATCCCGGCTACAGTACCCGACCAATTCCATCTTTTCCCTTTGCGAACTAAATTTACTCCGTTTGGGTACTTGTATGATAAAATTAATCTATCCGCCCTATCTCCCCCCTTGTTTTGGGATGTGGCGTGGCGAAAATAGGTGTAACGCTGTCCATGCTCCCGTTTCAGCAGCGCTGTGCGCGGTTACGGTAAGCTACCGTTGCCCCGGTTCGGCCAATCGGCTGCCTTCTTGGCGGGGATTAACTATTTATTGAACTTCCGCTCTGGGGAGGAGTTTCACCGGGTGGAGGTTGGGGGACTTGCGAGTGAGGATTGGGGATTTTTGTAGAGGCGAGGGTTAGCATGAGGGCGGTGATGTTTCGCTCGCGATATGGATGGCTCTAGATCGTGGGGAGGATATGGTGGGATTATTTTGGGGATTTATATATATCTGCCATGTTTCCCTCTAAATGCTGTTAGGTGGGCGTTCGCTATTTATTAGTTCTTGTTGGGTATTTCACTATCGTCAGATTTCTTATTTCTTCTTCTCAAGGTTATCCTTCTTTCCTTTCTACCATCATTGTATAGTTTGGCTGCCGTAGGGCTGTATACTTTTTGCCTATTCTTCCTTCCTTCTTCCATTCCTTTTTTTCTCTGCTCTCCGGTCCAGCATGAAGGTTACTATCGCTGCAGCTTTAGTAGCATTACATCTACCTGCAGTTATAGCGGGGCCCCTTCAGAATATTCCCGCATTGTGAGTGATAGCATTCAATGCATTGCCAATTTGGGACAGGCTCTGACAGATATTAGAAAACCTCGTGAGGATTACCCGCCACATATCTACGGGCAACCAACAACAACAACCAGACCCTTTAGTCGTATTGTAGAATCAGAGGCCCCCGTAACTAGCGAGCCATCTTCGGCATCCCTCGCTGGGCCTTCGTCCTCCCTAAGACTCCCCGTGGGTACTAGGACAACTTCGGCACCATCGAGTTCAGTCGTGAGCTCAGCTGCAAGTCCGCCAGAAACTAAGAGCTTCAGGAGACCGCCGAAAGATACGCCGGAGCCGAGCTCGGGGGGGCCATTACCGCCCACTTCGGCCCCTTCTTCGGTTCCGGCCCCCTCGTCACTCCCCTCTTCAGTTCCAGCTCCCTCTTCGTCTCTGGGCCCCTCTTCAGTTCCCTCTTCAATTCCGGCCCCCTCTTCGTCTCCGGCCCCCTCATCGCTCCCCTCTTCAGCTCCGGCACCTTCTTCGGCTCCGGCCCCCTCGTCACTTCCCTCTTCAATTCCGGCACCTTCTTCAGCTCCGGCCCCCTCTTCAGCCCCCTCTTCATCTCCGGCCCCCTCGTCACTTCCCTCTTCAGTTCTGGCCCCCTCGTCACTCCCCTCTTCAGTTCCGGCACCTTCTTCATCTCCGGCCCCCTCGTCACTCCCCTCTTCAGC